AGTCTTATTTGTTGTCCAATTGTTATATCCCTATGCATGATCATTATTTAATTAGTTGTTTTGATAAACGACCTTCCCTACTCTATTTTTTATCATATAAACCGGTATTCGGCTAAACTGTAGCATATATTTTTGCATGGGTCAATATTTATATTTGGCAGCATCTCAGTGACCACTTTCATCCATTTTCGTTTTCAGGCATGGGCGCATGGCAGAGACCACAATATGAGGCAAACATTGGACCTTAGCTAACACGATAACTGAATATTGTGATGGCATTTTAGTGGTTTGTTGCGTATTTTATATAGCTCATGGGTTTATGGCTTCCTACAGGCTTCCACTGATGCTTTTGTGACCGCCAGTCCGGGTAATTTCAACTTTCTCATGCTATTATATACTGATGCTATATTACTCAGCATGCTTTAGGAAATTAGAAACTGTTTTATTCTGTTGAAATTATGCTTTGTTGTTTGTACAGTGTGGGATATGCATGCTCTTCATCAAGGTTAAAATGTGGATGTATTTTCCTTTTCTTATTGGTGGCTAAAATAGATCGATGCTAATTAATGACAAGCTGGCGAGAATACTGAACTCTCATATCTCCAGAATTGGCTATAAAATCACTGGTTCTGGGTCATGGAGCAGTAAACCTTAATTTCTATTTGTTATTGCTAATGGCCAATTTGTATAGATTGTAAAACATATACAATATGAGTTGCCACTGCCATATCTATGATGTGATGTCCGTTGTCCTTCCAAATTAATCATCGCCCAAGGATTCGTTTTTCCTAGGATCTGCTGGTATCGAATTAAGAATGTTGTCTACTATGTACCGAGATCCATGTTTGTTAGTGTAAGATTGCTCTTAAAAAAACTTTTGGTTTGATTACATCACTTCAAAACTGAGAACATTGTTAGATTATATGCCCTTTTTGATATTGCGCTATTACTGTGGAACAGTGTTGCATGTTATCTTGTGATATGCCCAATTCTGATCTTGAGTTATTATAGGTTGCCTCATATGCCCGCGCAATGCGCAGGGGGCACAACTGTGATGTGCTGTGGACATAGTTTTGTTTGACTATCCTTCCAAATTAATCATCGCCCACTGATTGGTCTTCCTGGGAACTGCTACTCTGCTAGGTATTGAAATACTAATGTTGTTTATTTTATTTTTGTTGATGTAATTGTATTATGCACCGAGATACCCGTTGTTCGTGTAACATTGATTATATAAAAAATATTATGGTCCAATTAAATCACTCAAAATTGAGAACATCGTGATATTCTCTTTCTGATCGAGTTATTATTATTATTATTGTGTAGCTCTGTTATGTGCTATGTTGTTTTCAATCATGCTTATTTTTTATTATTATGATTTTTCTTTTATGATTAAGATTATCTTGGATGATGTCGGCGCATCGCGCGGGGGGCACAGCTAGTTTCTTAAAATCCCGATGCAACGCATGGGCATTCAGCTAGTTACTACACGATACAGATACTCCGATAGATAATGCAGCTAGCTACAGGAGGGCACTTGCCATGCTTAACCTCTACTCCTGGCTCAACCTCGTACTCAGGTTCCTCACCGTCAGTGGGATCGTTGTGTAAACGAAAGTAACGGTAATCGAATAAACACCACAAGATGCTGAAAAATCTAATCATGCTTCTAAAATGCATGCATTGATCACAGAAATGAGCAATGTCCTAAAGTAGATTATTAATGGAAATTTTATATATCAAATGACTCATAGGAGATCTGTATATACGACTGAAAGACATCAGACTGTCATCCCTGTACGACTCAAAGACATCTTAGGACGCAGGGGAGGTTCATCCTTGTAAGACTCAAAGACATCTTAGGACTAGGACGGGACGCAGGGGAGGTTCATCCTTGTACGACTAAAACGACATCTTAGTGGGACTTAGCGAGGTCTGTACAACTCGACATCAGGGTGGCACTCAACTCAGGGGAGATCATGGAGATGATCAACGAACGGGTCCTCCAGGTGGTGGTGAAGATGAAGTGGTATAGTGAGACACCTGTCGACGCGAACTGCAATCTTATCGATCCAATCGGCAGAGATGCGGAAGTCCTTCCGGGCGTCGAGCGCGTCACGAGCGTGGCGGGTGAGGCAGTTGCTGAAGAGGCGCGTCAAGCGGAGGAGAGGACCCTTGGCGACGGCACGCAGCTTCTTCATCCCACACCCGCAGGTGCGGAGCTTGCGTAGGACGGCTGGGTCGGTGTGGTCGTTGAGGAGCCCGGGGAGGACGCGATCCTGGAGATCGGTGAGGAGGTTGGCGAAGCGAGCGACGTGGCGCAGAGCGGGGAGCGTCGGGCAGATCCATCCCTCCTGCTCCACCTTCTCGAGGAGGATGTGGAGGTACTCCGGGGCGAGGCGGACGGCGTCGACGGCGCCGAGCTCGACGCGGTGCGGGTCGATGGCGAAGCGCACGCCGTGGACATCGACGAGCGAGCTGACGACGATGGTGGGCATGGGCGGAGATGGTGGCACGTAGTCGCTGTCGAACGGCATGAAAGCAGACCGGGATCCCTCCACCCGAAGCGCCATGGCGTGCAGCCACTCCTGCTTGATCGTGTAGGCCTTGTACGGATCCAGAGCTTGGCGAGCCTTCCGGGTCACCGTGTTGGAGTAGAACCCGACGAGGTTGTGGAGGGAGGGGTGAGCATGTTGACGAACGCTCCACATTGCGTACCCGCATGTACGGAGATTGCGGAGGGCCGCCTTGTCGTCGGGGTTGTTGCCGAGCATGGGGAGGATCCTCTTCTGGAGGTCGGTGAGGAGGTCGTCGAAGCGCCTGACGCGCCGGAGATCCTCGAGCTTGTTGCAGACCCACCCATCGTAGTCCACCTTCGGCGTGATGGCGACCTCGAACTCGGCTGCGCGGCGGACGGCGGGAATGGAGACGAGGTCGATGAAGCGCGGCTCATCGAGCATGGCGAGGACGTGGAGATCCTCGATCGTGGCGACGGTGATGTCGGGCAGGACGAGCGCCATGGCCGGCGGGGAGGGCGAGGCGGCCGGTGGTGGTGGAGGAGTGGAGAGAGGAAGGGGAAGACGAGGGGGCTGGCCCTGGCTGACGTCTGGGCCCCATCCCCTCCTCAGATATTTATCCCCCAAATTTTTCAAAGCGCTGAGCGGGAAAACCAAACCATCTCAATCCGTGCCAAATTTGATCCAGCGCTCTGATTGGTCCAAATCGGTCGACACGGATCGCTCTTGGACGGCCAAGATGCTTCCAACTCCTTTGGGCGGCTAGGATTCCACTGAACAAACACACCCCTCTTTTCACCACTAATAAACCAAAATTGAAAAACCCCGCCACTTTCTTTCTTTTTGGTCACGCTTAGCTGGCTCAGGCGCCAGCCCAGGTGGGTGTGGACTCTCAAATGGGCCACGCATTTCACCCAAAGGCAGCCCAGATGAAAAATATACACGCACAAACAATAGGGAAAAATTATACTTCGGCTCCCCCAACTATCGCCCAGTATGATTCCTGTCCTCCACCCACAAAACCGGGTAAATCGACTTCTCCAGCTATCACAACCCATGCAAACAATATCCCTCGGTGGTTTTGGCTAACGTGACGCCTACGTGGCGGTCTTTACCGAGTCTTTGTCCTATGTGGCGCTTACGTGGCATGGCATTAGAATAAAAAAAATGTGACACCCATATGTCATTCACACACAAAAAAATATCGTGGGATCCACATGTCACCCACCTAATTGACAGAAGAAAAACCATGTAAAACAACAATTTTGCCATTATCTTCTCCCTTCTCTCATCTGCATGTGGCGTTGGTACACGCTGGTGGAGGCGCACCCCGCGCTTGCTGACTCATTCACGTCGATGCCCGTGTCGCTTCACCTCGCCATCGTGCTGCTCTCTATGTGCGAGGACATCGACACCGCAGCCGCCACACTCATCATCACACATCAACTTCACGTTGTCCTCTAGATCCGAGTTAGGGTTCTTGTCCTCCTCGCTGACTCGCCGCGTTGGAGCGCGTCTATTTCCACTCCTTCAAACCGACGCAGTATCACCCCATATGTCAGCCTCACCCCTCCCTTCTTCCCTCTCCCTTCTCTCTCTTCTTCATCCTCACTCCTCCTCTCTTCTTCCCTCTCCCCTCCTCTTTCTCTCTCTTCTTCTTCTCAGGCAGCAGACACGCGCGGGTGGGCAGCGGAGCAGGCGAGCGAGGCGAGATGTCCAAGCTCCGACGGCGGCGACTCGGCGTGCGCCGTGGTGGGGATGTGGGGACTCGGCGACGAAAGCCTCGACTTGGGGGAGACGAGGGCGGCAATGAGGTGGCCTTGGCCTTGGGTACCGGCATGGGTGCCTTGGTGGACTTGGTGGGTGGCGCGGTGACCGGAGCCGGGGTGGCGGGTGTCTTCTTGAAGGAGACTGACGGCGTGGTGGTCAGCATCGTCGTAGGGGCGAGTGGAGATGGCGGCATCGATGTCGAGAACGACCTCCTCCTCCGCTCCAACCCCGCCATCTCTGCCCCTCCACCGTCGTCGACGAACCGCCGACAATGGAGCTCCTCACCAAGGACGACAGCGGAGAGTCCGTGGCTGTCGCGAGGGCGACGCTCTGGTGGTCGGCTCTACCTACCGCCCATCTGCTCCATGAGCTCGCCCGCACCGCTATGCTCCGTCCGCCACCCTTGCTGTGTTTCTTTCAAAAAAAAATTAAAATAGTGTGGCCGACGTGAACCCCACATGTCAGCTTTACTACTCCCTTCTTCCCTATCTCTCACCCCTTGTATTGTAGTTAATATATATAAAAGTTAGAGTGTAAATTACACTAGGATGACACATACTCCCTCCGTTTCATAAAAAAAATCAACTTATTGCTATGACTCTAGACATACACTATGTCTAAATTTATAACTAGAAGTTGGTTTTTTTTTGGAAGTAGGGAGTCCGTGGATAAATATATTTTTAGTTTTCCACACGTTCCGTTCCTTCCCCGTTGTCGTAGGGAGACCTCATCCTAATTGAAACAGAACTCTGCTACTGCCTACTGCTTGGGCTCCTTCCTAAAATTATAACTCTGATATCTATATCTATCTTGCCTACAAATTATAACTCTCGTTCCCCAATTTTGTGTGTGACGTTGAGAAGTGCCGACCGGCGACGACGAAAGGCCGGCGGAGAGAGATCCCCTCACCACCATGGGGATGCTGGATCTGATGCGCCTCATGTCCATCCAGCGCCAGCGGGACCAGGAGCGCCGCCGCCGCCAAGCCCAAGCTCCCCCCCGTGGTAAAGAAACTACTCCTCATAAGCTTCCTCTCCCACCTCCCTCTGTCACTCTCTGGTCAAGCGGCGGCAGCAGCAGCAGCTTCTTGCGTTTACGGTGGGGGAAGGGAACCAGATGGACTTGCTTGCGCCTCTTTTTCCTGTTTCGTTGGGTGGGTGTTTATTTAGTTTTCTTCACACTAGTTTGTGTCGATTATTCGAATCTGTATATATGTAGTACTAGTATATACACAAACCAAAAAGAAAAAAAAACATGTTTTTATTGAGCGCAAGGTAGGAGATCAAAGGTGGTTTATCCGATCCGCCATGGCTGGTGGCCGGCCACCACCGTCTTGTTCCTTTTCTCTTTAACTAGATTGACGAGACGTAGGGAGAGAGACTACACTGTAACTATAAGGTACCCGCGTGTTGCTGCGGGAATTCTTAGAACAATATTTGTGCGTATGGTCGCATGGATAGCAAAAACACTGAATTGCATTGAAGTAAGACAACCTCTTTTTGTGTGAATATGGAGTTACGGTTTTGTTCAACATTCAAATCAGTTGTGAAATATGAGGATATATATCTTGGTAGCTGACAATTTAGATATTACCGTGGGCAACAGAAAAAGAAAAATGTTTAGTAATACTGTGAGAACTTGGCTAATGATGATAATTCAAAATCATATACATTGCTCCCCAAGTTGGATAACAGGGTTAGCAAAAAAAAATTCATATTCAGATATGAAAGAAGGTTCAGCAGATAAACATGGCTATTAAAATTCAGTTACCGAACAAGGTTCACCAACTAAAAATTTCCATCAAAATTAAGAGTTTTACGCACCTCAATATTATACTTAGACTACGAATCAACCAACTGATGGTCTTGTTTCCTGCATTCTTCAATTGCTTAAAAAGAAGAAAAGGATCTGACAATGAAACCACAGCTACATAGGGCATCGACAGAAAGTGGTTAAAGTTGTAACTGCATATCTACATAGCAGCATACGATAGACACATAATTGAAAGGTCCAGATTAGCATAGCTTCAAGCATCATAAAACATGAAGCTAGTCATGGGTGGAAAGATTCTGTGGAAGGACAGGGATAATAAGCATATTGATTTGAACCTGCGGGAGTGGCATATCCTGAGAGAGATAAGTTGTGTTGGGAAGGCTCATCAGCTAGTGTCGTTGACCAGAGTGAGTTTGTCATCGTCGCCGGAGGATACAGCTCGTCTTTCTCTCTCCCATGAAGATCTGGCAGCATAGCTGAGAGCCTTTGAGAGGAAAGGAGAAGGCATATTGAGGGTAATAAATGTCCATGGCGGCTGTCACTTCAACTCCTAGCTGTTTCAGGTTTTGATAGCGCGTTTCAGCCTTTCAGGCGAGGGAGACTCAAAGGTGGACATAGAAGCCGAATGGCTCAGTTCTCTTGCGTCGTGTTGCGCTGAGAGTGGAGATGGAACGATAGGAGGTAGGATGTTCTGGGGTACGTAGGAACGTTTGGTTGGGTTTTCTGTGTGAGAGACACTACATTCAATCTGATGGAAATTAAGGGGTGATGTGGCAAAGCGAGATGACCAAAAAAATACTATTAATTGCACTAAGTGGGGATGAATTGTATCGGTTTATAGGATACTATACTATGCAAAATAAGAAAAATACTATATGACATGCTGAACTTCAGACATTTCCCCTTAAATTGATAACACTTTGATTTCTTTTACAAACTGTTAGTGTTGTTGTACAAAAGGGGACAAAAAAAAAAATAACGGATTGCCATGTGTGCAATGGTGTGCTTGCTTGAATTTTCTGTTTATTCCTGAAATGGATGTAAACCATGCATCTTGTGCTGCAGATGGATTGATTGCTTTACGGGCTAAAAGAAAAGGGCTCACCCTGCCAACAAGACGGCGATTCTCAGGGTGCTGCTGACATAGAGATACCAAGCCTTCCAGAGGTACACCATAAATAAAATGTTGATGATGAAACATCTTACTAGTAGTGTAGTACAAGTAAATTATGACGATTACTGCTTGAATCGCACAAATCGGTCGACCAACGTTATTAAAGTTTATGAACGGAGCACTTTGATGCTATAACCTCCTACAGCTGCTGCATTGGAACTGTTTTTCCAGCTGTTGCACTTACTTTCAATTACAAGTTGTGTCCACATAATGCTTGCTTCTAAGCTGGTGGTTCTTAGGCTGGGAGTTTCTCAAGTCAACGTCAATGATTAGCCTTTGCCACTAGTCTCCATACTGTTTCTAACTTCCTTAAATTTTAACATCTCAAAAATGGTTCCTTGCTAACAAATGTGACATGTTATCTCCGGTAGGCCATTGCAGGCAGTACATGGTAATTTTGTGAGCCACATGTCCTTGTAGGATGGCATTCTTGTTTGATTCCCCGCATCTCCCCATCCTGACTCCCCGCATCTTCCCCATCCTGAGTTCCTGACCTAGTGTATGAAAATCCAAGCAAGCAACCAAACACACCTTTAGTTCTGTTACATATTTAACTGATCTTTCTGGTTGTTTATATATTCAGATATTGGTACCCTATGCAAAGTGCATGTCCATTTCTGTTCCTTTTATGCCATTGAATAACATGCTATTAGACAATTAAACATCATTCCATCCATTTTATCTGGCACAATTGCAAAGAAACAAATAGTGCCGAGCACCTAATACATGATTTGGGTAAGACCATATTTGCCTAGCAGAAGTCAACTATACAATTCATAGTACAATAGTACATAATCAGGCAGGTAGCACTGGACCGGTTAAAGTGTTAACTCCATAAGTTACCATTTTTTTTCTTCCATCTAATTCAACCATCTGTCTTCACAATTCCAATGGTTAACTTCTCTCCCATGCTTGTGCAAGCAGGACATCTGGCGTCTTATACATTCCTTGATGCCAATGCGGGATGCTGCCCGAGCTGCCTGTGTGTCTCATTCCTTTCTAAGTTCCTGGAGATGCCACCCCAACCTCAATTTCAGTAGTGAAGCATTGGGGTTGAGCAAAAATGCATATGGAAACGAAGAATTGGCTGGACTTTTCTACAGCAAAGTCAACCACATTCTCAAAAGGCACTCAGGCATCGGCGTGAAAAAACTGACGATTAAGGTATATTCAGATTATAGTGGGAAGGGCTCTTCATATCTCAACAATTGGCTTCAGATTGCTGTTAAACCAGGGATTGAAGAACTCATAATTGCACTGACCCAGTTCCAGGCAAAGTACAATTTCCCATGCTCTCTTCTGTCGAATGGGAGTGGAGACTCAATCCAATATCTTCACCTTTCTAACTGTTCCTTCCACCCAACAGTCACACTTAGTGGCTTAAGAAGTCTGACGAGATTGTATCTTTGTCGTGTGCGTATTACCGAGAACGAGTTAGGCTGCCTTCTTTCCCATTCTCTTGCATTGGAGCAGTTGGAAATCAGGTACTGCAATAGGATAGTTTGCCTGAAGGTACCTTGCCTACTGCAACGGCTCATCTCCCTGAAGGTGTTTGGGTGTGACAAGTTGAAACTGATAGAAAATGAAGCTCCTAATGTCTCCATGTTTGCATTTCAAGGGGACAAAACGGAACTGAAACTTGGAGAAACTTTGCAAATAAAGAGCCTATGCATGGTCCGCTCTGGTTATGTTTATCATGCTCGTGCTGAACTTCCATCCATCATGCCAAATCTTGAATCTCTTGCCCTAAAGTCATGCAAAGAGGTATGAGAAATTTTACCTGACACACTAATGATAGGCATATCTAATGAGACTAGATTCTGTCTTATGGGTTGTAGCATAATTAATTTGACCTCTTTATGCAGACGGCCTTTGCACCGAAGCTGTGTAGCAAATTCCTCTGCCTCAGGCACTTGAGCATTGGCCTTATTGGATTTTTCCCAGCCTATGACTATTTATCCCTGGCTTCTTATATTTATGCTGCACCTTCTCTGGAGACTTTTGACTTGAATGTGAGTAGCTGTTCATATATTATTACTGCTATGAATGAAATTAGTAGCTGTGTGGTGGAAATGTCACTTAAAATTTCTCCCTTTCACATCCTAGGTAATGCAGCGGAACGTGCAGAGTGTTTCAATTTTTGCACATCCTGCAGATCTGAGATCAATACGAGAAGAGAAGCATCACAACCTTAAGAGTGTGACGGTTACATCATTCATCTCTGTAAAGAGCTTGGTTGAGCTGACATGCCATATCCTTGAGAGTACAGCTTCACTCGAGTGCTTGACATTGGATGCTTCTCAGACTGGTTTTAGGTGTGATACTCCAGGCAGCAAAATCAGCAAATGCCCCCCACTAGATAGGGACATTATCATGGAAGGTCACAGAGGGGTCTTGGCTATCAGAAGATACATCCAGCCTAGGGTACCTTCCACAGTGAAGCTGACTGTTTTGGAGCCCTGCAGCTGCCATTCCACTGAACTTTAGATGTCATGTTTATCTTAGTTATTCGATGTTTAATCGTGCTGCTGCTGATGATGATTCTGTAGATTCTTAGATGGGTCATGGTTTCTAAAGTTTGCTCTTAATGATTACTACTAGTTGATATCATAACCAATGCACATGATATCCACTAGTAACTCTAGTTTCCACCTAGCAGCAGTGTTGTATGCACATTAAAAAGTTCTTACTAGCAGAAGTTCTCGAACGTTTGATTTACCTACTTGTGGCCTTGTGGGTTATAAAAAGCTAAACATTAGAGTTTGTAACAAATTTTAGTGTGTAGCCTTTAATTTCTTTTCACCTATATATGCATCGGTTTCTTATAATATTTGAATTCATCTATATGTACCTATACATAACATACGTACGCGAATAGTAGGGCAACTTGTTGCATGCATGAATGACACGGTTGGAGTTAAAGAATACCCGTAGTCGCTTTCATGCATGATTGATGGATTAAAAATCAAATAAAAACATACAGTATTCAATTGTCCTTGAAGAAAAAGCAACAGATGAGTATACATGAAGTATAAACTCTAGTCTGCCAAAACTGTCAGCAAGTGCAGACTAATTTTCATCTCGAGTGTTCAGTTTGAGACCGGTCCGTATTGGAGAATTATTTGAAACAAGTGAACAATGACTATAAATGTGGTACACAATGCTCTTTAGATCATAATAAGAGCAAGTTTAATAGTATAGCCAACTACTAGCTCTAATTTATCTATAGCCAATCTAATAGCTTATCCATACAATAGTTACATACTACACTATTAATACTTAGTCCCACCTGTCATACACACACTGCGTCTTGGAGTCCGTGCTACAGCTGGCTACAAATCTGTAGCCCGCTGCTCTTCTCTCTCCTTATTTATCTCCTTAAAATATGTTTGCTATTGTACCTGCTCTAAGGAACACTATAAGAGCAAGTTTAATAGTATAGCCCACTACTAGCTTCAAATCATCTATAGTCAATGTAATAGCCAATTCATACAATAGTTGCTTACTATACTATTAATATCTGGTCCCACCTATCATACACACATTACGTTTTGGAGTCCGTGCTGCAGCTGGCTATAGATCTGTAGCCCGTTGCTCTTCTCTCTCTCTTCCTTTATCTGTTTAAAATATGTTTATAGCTAGCTTATAACCTGCTATTGTACCTGCTCTAAATGTGGTACACAGTGCTCTTGTTGCAAAGATTATACATTACCCAATTTTATCTCCGATCATTTGGCCATTGCAGTATTTTGATTATATATTTCGAAAAAAAAATCTGTTAAAGAACAATCAATACACTGAACAGGAATAACAATAGCAGTGCCACTAGTGATTTCTGAACATTATCACTGCAGTAGTGTTACATCTTTTACATGCAGTAATTAGTATTTGTACAAGATAGGAGTACATGCGCGTATGTATATTCAGGCGTGGTTAATGCCTAAGCAAGAGGGATGAGCACACCACTACTCTACAGAAGCAGCTGTAAATTAAATTAACGGTTCGATCTGCAGGCCAGGGCGTACTTATATTATTATCTATACCATCTTAAAAAGACAGCAACCGTGGTGTCCGTTCCCACAACTGCCATGCTGACTTGTGGGCCCACATTGTCGGTGAGAGGGGGAAAGGATCCGGCCGCGTGCGTGTGGGGCGGAGAGGTGGCGAAATACGAGCAGCCTGCAGGGAGGGGGTGCCGGTTCCGCCCTTCCCATCGCCGACGCCGGCGGACCTTCACGGTTGCATGCCGCTGACGCCCGAGCTCACCGCCGCCGCTGCTCTTGCTTCGCCCGCTGCTCGAACCCGTCGCGGACAGGCGGCGGGATCCGTCGACGAGAGGGGGGATAGAGAAGGGTGGGCGCACCAGCCGCTCGAACTGCTCGAAGACGGCCAGGTCGGCGCCACCGTTGGCGCGCGCCGCGGCGATGCGGGTGCTGGCCACGGAGCCGGATCCAAAGCGGCGTGGCGTGTGTGCGATGTGAATGGGGAACGAGTGCGGGCGTGGCCGCGTGGGGCAATGAGTGGACCGGGGTTGGAGTTAGGCAGTTAGCAGTCAGGGTTAGGAATGTCGATGGGCTGCTGGGCTGTTCATGGGCTTCTATGCCTTGTGCAATAGTAGGTTGGTTTTTCTGGTGTTTATTCTGTCGATCTGCTTCTGGAGACAAATGGATGATGGCCTCCATCACTCCATGTGAATATATGGGTGTCGTAGAAAACTTTCTTATAGACTGAAATAAGTAAAGGGAAATTCTCAACCAAATATTAAAAATACTTTTTCTTCCCGAGGACTAGCATATCATATACAATAGTTTAGAAATATAGATAATTCATGTCCAATATATTGTTCATCCCTACGAACAATTATGTAGTTTGACATACATGTCTAAAATTATGCTAGATATAATCTGATAATTACAGTGAAAATATTTTTTTTTGGGTTTTACCATGTTTGATGGGTTATCATATTAAATCCTTAGTTTTTACAACCCACTACTAGCAGTGATTTGATCAACCTCAGCCCAGGAAAAGATGCTACAGTACTACAGTTCATCACCCAGCATGCACCTTCCGATGTCCACGCGTTGATTTGATCCAACCGTCCACGCCTCACATGCACATCGCTGCGCCCGGCATAGCTTCCCCAATCCCCTCGATCCTCGACATCCTCTGCGCCTCCCTTCCCAAAATACTCAAATCTTCATCTTCCCCTCGCGAGTCGCGAAGCCCGCCGCCGCCACCTTCTTGCGGAGCTAGCGGCCGGGGTCGTCGCCTTCTTGCGAGCCACCTGCAAGCGCCGCCACCGTTCCGCTTGATTCGCTTGCTCGACCGGCCAATTTCTCAAGGTGGACGAAGGGTGCACGCCCGCTGCCATAGTTGCCTTCGTCCACCTCTTTGCACGGTGTTGACAACATGTGCAGTCTGGTAAGCCAAGCCCTAGCCTGATCTGCTTCTTATCTTCAGCAACCTTGCTTTTATCCTTTGCAGTGATCAATTTGGATGACTTATTTTGTGATGAATCTATCTGTAGTTAGGGTATGGGTATGGAGTAGAGCAGAGCAAGCCAAGCCCTAACTCAATCTGCTTCTCCATCTTCAGCATCCTTGCTTCTATCCTTTGCAGCGTCAATTTGGATGACATATCTTGTGAGTCAGTTAGGGTTTGGGTACAAGCTATGGAGTGGAGCAAGTGTTCTTCTAGCCATTGTGCTGCCGTCACCTTCCTTGGGACAGTGAGGTATGATCTCCCCATTATTTTCTATCTGGATTAGGCCCTAATCTTGATTCAGGTTTGGGCTAGGCCCATCCAGCCAGAAGTCATACGATTTTTCAATAAAAAGAAGTCCTCCGATTGTTGCCGTTTGGCCACTTCTCATTGCCAAAACAATATTAATGTCTGGCATCAATATCTAATGAATATTTTATTTATTTTCCTTGCATATCTTCATTTTAATCCAGGACAGTGGTTCGTCAGCTCCCTGATCCCCTTTTATCATTATGTTGTCCAATTAATTTATTTCACCATCCTTTACTCTACCATTGATAATTTACATGGCCATTGTTCTATGCCCAAGAAATGCATGGATGATTTCAATGTAAAGTTGATGAAGAGTACTGTCCTATCTCTACCAAAGTTTGTCAAATCCACTTGCTTCCTGTTGTAGTGTAGTATTGCTTAAAAGCTATTTTTCATATCATCCTGCCATACGCTTAAATGCATATTCTATTTTCCTTGCCTCAGGTATGTAACTTTATTTTGTTTTGGTACATGTGATCCCAATACTATATGATGAGTAGCTCAGTTACTACTAAAACAGATATATGCAACACAGTTTCCCTCTCCTTTTGTTTAAATACCTAGCTACATATTTATGTGCCATCATCCTATCTCAAATATATCTATACGATTTTTCAATCATCCACAACAACACATGGGCATATTTCGTTTCATTTATCTTTTTTTATTTTCTAATAGTGTACTTGCTTCTTTGAGTGGCTTCGTTTGCTAATTTCTATGTTTTTCATATTTCAAGTTCAAGGCTTCCAGCTACTTGGCAATTGCTCTTTAGGGTTTCTCTACCTGTTATTGCCTGGTATTATTTCAGTTTTTTGGGTAGTTCCTTGGGAAGTCTTATTTGTTGTCCAATTGTTATATCCCTATGCATGATCATTATTTAATTAGTTGTTTTGATAAACGACCTTCCCTACTCTATTTTTTATCATATAAACCGGTATTCGGCTAAACTGTAGCATATATTTTTGCATGGGTCAATATTTATATTTGGCAGCATCTCAGTGACCACTTTCATCCATTTTCGTTTTCAGGCATGGGCGCATGGCAGAGACCACAATATGAGGCAAACATTGGACCTTAGCTAACACGATAACTGAATATTGTGATGGCATTTTAGTGGTTTGTTGCGTATTTTATATAGCTCATGGGTTTATGGCTTCCTACAGGCTTCCACTGATGCTTTTGTGACCGCCAGTCCGGGTAATTTCAACTTTCTCATGCTATTATATACTGATGCTATATTACTCAGCATGCTTTAGGAAATTAGAAACTGTTTTATTCTGTTGAAATTATGCTTTGTTGTTTGTACAGTGTGGGATATGCATGCTCTTCATCAAGGTTAAAATGTGGATGTATTTTCCTTTTCTTATTGGTGGCTAAAATAGATCGATGCTAATTAATGACAAGCTGGCGAGAATACTGAACTCTCATATCTCCAGAATTGGCTATAAAATCACTGGTTCTGGGTCATGGAGCAGTAAACCTTAATTTCTATTTGTTATTGCTAATGGCCAATTTGTATAGATTGTAAAACATATACAATATGAGTTGCCACTGCCATATCTATGATGTGATGTCCGTTGTCCTTCCAAATTAATCATCGCCCAAGGATTCGTTTTTCCTAGGATCTGCTGGTATCGAATTAAGAATGTTGTCTACTATGTACCGAGATCCATGTTTGTTAGTGTAAGATTGCTCTTAAAAAAACTTTTGGTTTGATTACATCACTTCAAAACTGAGAACATTGTTAGATTATATGCCCTTTTTGATATTGCGCTATTACTGTGGAACAGTGTTGCATGTTATCTTGTGATATGCCCAATTCTGATCTTGAGTTATTATAGGTTGCCTCATATGCCCGCGCAATGCGCAGGGGGCACAACTGTGATGTGCTGTGGACATAGTTTTGTTTGACTATCCTTCCAAATTAATCATCGCCCACTGATTGGTCTTCCTGGGAACTGCTACTCTGCTAGGTATTGAAATACTAATGTTGTTTATTTTATTTTTGTTGATGTAATTGTATTATGCACCGAGATACCCGTTGTTCGTGTAACATTGATTATATAAAAAATATTATGGTCCAATTAAATCACTCAAAATTGAGAACATCGTGATATTCTCTTTCTGATCGAGTTATTATTATTATTATTGTGTAGCTCTGTTATGTGCTATGTTGTTTTCAATCATGCTTATTTTTTATTATTATGATTTTTCTTTTATGATTAAGATTATCTTGGATGATGTCGGCGCATCGCGCGGGGGGCACAGCTAGTTTCTTAAAATCCCGATGCAACGCATGGGCATTCAGCTAGTTACTACACGATACAGATACTCCGATAGATAATGCAGCTAGCTACAGGAGGGCACTTGCCATGCTTAACCTCTACTCCTGGCTCAACCTCGTACTCAGGTTCCTCACCGTCAGTGGGATCGTTGTGTAAACGAAAGTAACGGTAATCGAATAAACACCACAAGATGCTGAAAAATCTAATCATGCTTCTAAAATGCATGCATTGATCACAGAAATGAGCAATGTCCTAAAGTAGATTATTAATGGAAATTTTATATATCAAATGACTCATAGGAGATCTGTATATACGACTGAAAGACATCAGACTGTCATCCCTGTACGACTCAAAGACATCTTAGGACGCAGGGGAGGTTCATCCTTGTAAGACTCAAAGACATCTTAGGACTAGGACGGGACGCAGGGGAGGTTCATCCTTGTACGACTAAAACGACATCTTAGTGGGACTTAGCGAGGTCTGTACAACTCGACATCAGGGTGGCACTCAACTCAGGGGAGATCATGGAGATGATCAACGAACGGGTCCTCCAGGTGGTGGTGAAGATGAAGTGGTATAGTGAGACACCTGTCGACGCGAACTGCAATCTTATCGATCCAATCGGCAGAGATGCGGAAGTCCTTCCGGGCGTCGAGCGCGTCACGAGCGTGGCGGGTGAGGCAGTTGCTGAAGAGGCGCGTCAAGCGGAGGAGAGGACCCTTGGCGACGGCACGCAGCTTCTTCATCCCACACCCGCAGGTGCGGAGCTTGCGTAGGACGGCTGGGTCGGTGTGGTCGTTGAGGAGCCCGGGGAGGACGCGATCCTGGAGATCGGTGAGGAGGTTGGCGAAGCGAGCGACGTGGCGCAGAGCGGGGAGCGTCGGGCAGATCCATCCCTCCTGCTCCACCTTCTCGAGGAGGATGTGGAGGTACTCCGGGGCGAGGCGGACGGCGTCGACGGCGCCGAGCTCGACGCGGTGCGGGTCGATGGCGAAGCGCACGCCGTGGACATCGACGAGCGAGCTGACGACGATGGTGGGCATGGGCGGAGATGGTGGCACGTAGTCGCTGTCGAACGGCATGAAAGCAGACCGGGATCCCTCCACCCGAAGCGCCATGGCGTGCAGCCACTCCTGCTTGATCGTGTAGGCCTTGTACGGATCCAGAGCTTGGCGAGCCTTCCGGGTCACCGTGTTGGAGTAGAACCCGACGAGGTTGTGGAGGGAGGGGTGAGCATGTTGACGAACGCTCCACATTGCGTACCCGCATGTACGGAGATTGCGGAGGGCCGCCTTGTCGTCGGGGTTGTTGCCGAGCATGGGGAGGATCCTCTTCTGGAGGTCGGTGAGGAGGTCGTCGAAGCGCCTGACGCGCCGGAGATCCTCGAGCTTGTTGCAGACCCACCCATCGTAGTCCACCTTCGGCGTGATGGCGACCTCGAACTCGGCTGCGCGGCGGACGGCGGGAATGGAGACGAGGTCGATGAAGCGCGGCTCATCGAGCATGGCGAGGACGTGGAGATCCTCGATCGTGGCGACGGTGATGTCGGGCAGGACGAGCGCCATGGCCGGCGGGGAGGGCGAGGCGGCCGGTGGTGGTGGAGGAGTGGAGAGAGGAAGGGGAAGACGAGGGGGCTGGCCCTGGCTGACGTCTGGGCCCCATCCCCTCCTCAGATATTTATCCCCCAAATTTTTCAAAGCGCTGAGCGGGAAAACCAAACCATCTCAATCCGTGCCAAATTTGATCCAGCGCTCTGATTGGTCCAAATCGGTCGACACGGATCGCTCTTGGACGGCCAAGATGCTTCCAACTCCTTTGGGCGGCTAGGATTCCACTGAACAAACACACCCCTCTTTTCACCACTAATAAACCAAAATTGAAAAACCCCGCCACTTTCTTTCTTTTTGGTCACGCTTAGCTGGCTCAGGCGCCAGCCCAGGTGGGTGTGGACTCTCAAATGGGCCACGCATTTCACCCAAAGGCAGCCCAGATGAAAAATATACACGCACAAACAATAGGGAAAAATTATACTTCGGCTCCCCCAACTATCGCCCAGTATGATTCCTGTCCTCCACCCACAAAACCGGGTAAATCGACTTCTCCAGCTATCACAACCCATGCAAACAATATCCCTCGGTGGTTTTGGCTAACGTGACGCCTACGTGGCGGTCTTTACCGAGTCTTTGTCCTATGTGGCGCTTACGTGGCATGGCATTAGAATAAAAAAAATGTGACACCCATATGTCATTCACACACAAAAAAATATCGTGGGATCCACATGTCACCCACCTAATTGACAGAAGAAAAACCATGTAAAACAACAATTTTGCCATTATCTTCTCCCTTCTCTCATCTGCATGTGGCGTTGGTACACGCTGGTGGAGGCGCACCCCGCGCTTGCTGACTCATTCACGTCGATGCCCGTGTCGCTTCACCTCGCCATCGTGCTGCTCTCTATGTGCGAGGACATCGACACCGCAGCCGCCACACTCATCATCACACATCAACTTCACGTTGTCCTCTAGATCCGAGTTAGGGTTCTTGTCCTCCTCGCTGACTCGCCGCGTTGGAGCGCGTCTATTTCCACTCCTTCAAACCGACGCAGTATCACCCCATATGTCAGCCTCACCCCTCCCTTCTTCCCTCTCCCTTCTCTCTCTTCTTCATCCTCACTCCTCCTCTCTTCTTCCCTCTCCCCTCCTCTTTCTCTCTCTTCTTCTTCTCAGGCAGCAGACACGCGCGGGTGGGCAGCGGAGCAGGCGAGCGAGGCGAGATGTCCAAGCTCCGACGGCGGCGACTCGGCGTGCGCCGTGGTGGGGATGTGGGGACTCGGCGACGAAAGCCTCGACTTGGGGGAGACGAGGGCGGCAATGAGGTGGCCTTGGCCTTGGGTACCGGCATGGGTGCCTTGGTGGACTTGGTGGGTGGCGCGGTGACCGGAGCCGGGGTGGCGGGTGTCTTCTTGAAGGAGACTGACGGCGTGGTGGTCAGCATCGTCGTAGGGGCGAGTGGAGATGGCGGCATCGATGTCGAGAACGACCTCCTCCTCCGCTCCAACCCCGCCATCTCTGCCCCTCCACCGTCGTCGACGAACCGCCGACAATGGAGCTCCTCACCAAGGACGACAGCGGAGAGTCCGTGGCTGTCGCGAGGGCGACGCTCTGGTGGTCGGCTCTACCTACCGCCCATCTGCTCCATGAGCTCGCCCGCACCGCTATGCTCCGTCCGCCACCCTTGCTGTGTTTCTTTCAAAAAAAAATTAAAATAGTGTGGCCGACGTGAACCCCACATGTCAGCTTTACTACTCCCTTCTTCCCTATCTCTCACCCCTTGTATTGTAGTTAATATATATAAAAGTTAGAGTGTAAATTACACTAGGATGACACATACTCCCTCCGTTTCATAAAAAAAATCAACTTATTGCTATGACTCTAGACATACACTATGTCTAAATTTATAACTAGAAGTTGGTTTTTTTTTGGAAGTAGGGAGTCCGTGGATAAATATATTTTTAGTTTTCCACACGTTCCGTTCCTTCCCCGTTGTCGTAGGGAGACCTCATCCTAATTGAAACAGAACTCTGCTACTGCCTACTGCTTGGGCTCCTTCCTAAAATTATAACTCTGATATCTATATCTATCTTGCCTACAAATTATAACTCTCGTTCCCCAATTTTGTGTGTGACGTTGAGAAGTGCCGACCGGCGACGACGAAAGGCCGGCGGAGAGAGATCCCCTCACCACCATGGGGATGCTGGATCTGATGCGCCTCATGTCCATCCAGCGCCAGCGGGACCAGGAGCGCCGCCGCCGCCAAGCCCAAGCTCCCCCCCGTGGTAAAGAAACTACTCCTCATAAGCTTCCTCTCCCACCTCCCTCTGTCACTCTCTGGTCAAGCGGCGGCAGCAGCAGCAGCTTCTTGCGTTTACGGTGGGGGAAGGGAACCAGATGGACTTGCTTGCGCCTCTTTTTCCTGTTTCGTTGGGTGGGTGTTTATTTAGTTTTCTTCACACTAGTTTGTGTCGATTATTCGAATCTGTATATATGTAGTACTAGTATATACACAAACCAAAAAGAAAAAAAAACATGTTTTTATTGAGCGCAAGGTAGGAGATCAAAGGTGGTTTATCCGATCCGCCATGGCTGGTGGCCGGCCACCACCGTCTTGTTCCTTTTCTCTTTAACTAGATTGACGAGACGTAGGGAGAGAGACTACACTGTAACTATAAGGTACCCGCGTGTTGCTGCGGGAATTCTTAGAACAATATTTGTGCGTATGGTCGCATGGATAGCAAAAACACTGAATTGCATTGAAGTAAGACAACCTCTTTTTGTGTGAATATGGAGTTACGGTTTTGTTCAACATTCAAATCAGTTGTGAAATATGAGGATATATATCTTGGTAGCTGACAATTTAGATATTACCGTGGGCAACAGAAAAAGAAAAATGTTTAGTAATACTGTGAGAACTTGGCTAATGATGATAATTCAAAATCATATACATTGCTCCCCAAGTTGGATAACAGGGTTAGCAAAAAAAAATTCATATTCAGATATGAAAGAAGGTTCAGCAGATAAACATGGCTATTAAAATTCAGTTACCGAACAAGGTTCACCAACTAAAAATTTCCATCAAAATTAAGAGTTTTACGCACCTCAATATTATACTTAGACTACGAATCAACCAACTGATGGTCTTGTTTCCTGCATTCTTCAATTGCTTAAAAAGAAGAAAAGGATCTGACAATGAAACCACAGCTACATAGGGCATCGACAGAAAGTGGTTAAAGTTGTAACTGCATATCTACATAGCAGCATACGATAGACACATAATTGAAAGGTCCAGATTAGCATAGCTTCAAGCATCATAAAACATGAAGCTAGTCATGGGTGGAAAGATTCTGTGGAAGGACAGGGATAATAAGCATATTGATTTGAACCTGCGGGAGTGGCATATCCTGAGAGAGATAAGTTGTGTTGGGAAGGCTCATCAGCTAGTGTCGTTGACCAGAGTGAGTTTGTCATCGTCGCCGGAGGATACAGCTCGTCTTTCTCTCTCCCATGAAGATCTGGCAGCATAGCTGAGAGCCTTTGAGAGGAAAGGAGAAGGCATATTGAGGGTAATAAATGTCCATGGCGGCTGTCACTTCAACTCCTAGCTGTTTCAGGTTTTGATAGCGCAGCGAACGGTTTCAGCCTTTCAGGTGAGGGAGACTCAAAGGCGGACATGGAAGCCGAATGGCTCAGTTCTCTTGCGTCGTGTTGCGCTGAGAGTGGAGATGGAACGATAGCAGGTAGGATGTTCTGGGGTACGTAGGAACGTTTGGTTGGGTTTTCTGCGTGAGAGACACTACATGCAATCTGATGGAAATTAAGGGGTGATGTGGCAAAGCGAGATGACCAAAAAAATACTATTAATTGCACTAATTGGGGATGAATTGTATTGGTTTATAGGATACTATGCTATGCAAAATAAGAAAAATACTATATGACATGCTGAACTTCAGCCATTTCCCCTTAAATTGATAACATGTTGGTTTCTTTTACAAACTGTTAGTGTTGTTGTACAAAAGGGGACAAAAAAAAAATAACGGATTGCCATGTGTGCAATGGTGTGCTTGCTTGAATTTTCTGTTTATTCCTCAAATGGATGTAAACCATGCATCTTGTGCTGCAGATGGATTGATTGCTTTACGGGCTAAAAGAAAGGGCTCACCCTGCCAACAAGACGGCGATTCTCAGGGTGCTGCTGACATAGAGATACCAAGCCTTCCAGAGGTACACCATAAATAAAATGTTGATGATGAAACATCTTACTAGTAGTGTAGTACAAGTAAATTATGACGATTACTGCTTGAATCGCACAAATCGGTCGACCAACGTTATTAAAGTTTATGAACGGAGCACTTTGATGCTATAACCTCCTACAGCTGCTGCATCGGAACTGTTTTTCCAGCTGTTGCACTTACTTTCAATCACAAATTGTCTACACATAATGCTTTCTTCTAAGCTGGTGGTTCTTAGGCTGGGAGTTTCTCAAGTCAACATCAATGATGAGCTTTTGCCACTAGTCTCCATGCTGTTTCTAACTTCCTTAAATTGTACCATCTCAAAAACGGTTCCGTGCTAACAAATGTTATCTCCGTTAGACCATTGCAGTCAGTACATGGTAATTTTGTGAGCCGCATGTCCTTGTAGGATGGCATTCTTGTTTGATTCCCCGCATCTCCCCATCCTGACTCCCCGCATCTTCCCCATCCTGAGTTCCTGACCTAGTGTATGAAAATCCAAGCAAGTAACCAAACACACCTTAATGTTTCTAACTTCATATCAATTTATTTTAACACTGTAGCTGCCAAAAGTTATTTGATTCTGATACATATTTAACTGAGCTTTCTGGTTGTTTATATATTCAGATATTGGTACCCTATGCAAAGTGCATGTCCATTTCTGTTCCTTTTCTGCCATTAGACAATTAAACATCATTCCATCCATTTTATCTGGCACAATTGCAAAGAAACAAATAGTGCTGAGCACTTAATACATGATTTGGGTAAGAACATATTTGCCTAGCGGAAGTCAACTATATAATTCATAGTAATAGTACATAATCAGGCAGGTAGCACTGGACCAGTTAAAGTGTTACTCCATAAGTTACCATTTTTTTCTTCCATCTAATTCAACCATTTGTCTTCACAATTCCAATGTTTAACTTCTCTCCCATGCTTGTGCAAGCAGGACATCTGGCGTCTTATACATTCCTTGATGCCAATGCGAGATGCTGCCCGAGCTGCCTGTGTGTCTCGTTCCTTTCTAAGTTTGTGGAGATGCCACCCCAACCTCAATTTCAGTAGTGAAGCATTTGGGTTGAACAAAAATGCATGTGGAAAGGAAGAATTGGCTGGACTTTTCTACAGCAAAGTCGACCACATTCTCAAAAGGCACTCAGGCATCGGCGTGAAAAAACTTAAGATTCAGATATATTCAGATTATAGTGGGAAAGGCTCTTCATATCTCAACAATTGGCTTCAGATTTCTGTTAAACCAGGGATTGAAGAACTCATAATTTCACTGACCCAGTTCCAGGCAAAGTACAATTTCCCATGCTCTCTTCTGTCGAATGGGAGTGGAGACTCAATCCAATATCTTCACCTTTCTAACTGTTCCTTCCACCCAACAGTCACACTTAGTGGCTTAAGAAGTCTGATGAGACTGTATCTTTGTTGTGTGCGTATTACGGAGAACGAGTTAGGCTGCCTTCTTTCCCATTCTCTTGCATTGGAGCAGTTGGAAATCAGGTACTGCGATAGGATAGTTTGCCTGAAGGTACCTTGCCTACTGCAGCGGCTCATCTCCCTGAAGGTGTTTGGGTGTGACAAGCTGAAACTGATAGAAAATGAAGCTCCTAATGTCTCCATTTTTGCATTTCAAGGGGACAAAACGGAACTGAAACTTGGAGAAACTTTGCAAATAAAGAGCCTATGCATGGTCCGCTCTGGTTATGTTTATCATGCTCGTGCTGAACTTCCATCCATCATGCCAAATCTTGAATCTCTTGCCATAAAGTCACGCAAAGAGGTATGAGAAATTTTGCCTGACACATGAATGAGACTAGATTCTGTCTTATGGGTTGTAGCATAATTAATTTGACCTCTTTATGCAGACGGCCTTTGCACCGAAGCTGTGTAGCAAATTCCTCTGCCTCAGGCACTTGAGCATTGGCCTTATTGGATTTTTCCCAGCCTATGACTATTTATCCCTGGCTTCTTATATTTATGCTGCACCTTCTCTGGAGACTTTTGACTTGAATGTGAGTAGCTGTTCATATATTATTACTGCTATGAATGAAATTAGTAGCTGTGTGGTGGAAATGTCACTTAAAATTTCTCCCTTTCACATCCTAGGTAATGCAGCGGAACGTGCAGAGTGTTTCAATTTTTGCACATCCTGCAGATCTGAGATCAATACGAGAAGAGAAGCATCACAACCTTAAGAGTGTGACGGTTACATCATTCATCTCTGTAAAGAGCTTGGTTGAGCTGACATGCCATATCCTTGAGAGTACAGCTTCACTCGAGTGCTTGACATTGGATGCTTCTCAGACTGGTTTTAGGTGTGATACTCCAGGCAGCAAAATCAGCAAATGCCCCCCACTAGATAGGGACATTATCATGGAAGGTCACAGAGGGGTCTTGGCTATCAGAAGATACATCCAGCCTAGGGTACCTTCCACAGTGAAGCTGACTGTTTTGGAGCCCTGCAGCTGCCATTCCACTGAACTTTAGATGTCATGTTTATCTTAGTTATTCGATGTTTAATCGTGCTGCTGCTGATGATGATTCTGTAGATTCTTAGATGGGTCATGGTTTCTAAAGTTTGCTCTTAATGATTACTACTAGTTGATATCATAACCAATGCACATGATATCCACTAGTAACTCTAGTTTCCACCTAGCAGCAGTGTTGTATGCACATTAAAAAGTTCTTCTTCCTTATCTTCTCCCTTCTCTCATCTGCATGTGGCGTTGGTACTTGGTACACGCTGGTGGAGGCGCACCCCGCGCTTGCTGACTCATTCACGTCGATGCCCGTGTCGCTTCACCTCACCCTCGTGCTGCTCTCTATGTGCGAGGACATCGACACCGCAGCCGCCACACTCATCATCACACATCAACTTCACGCTGTCCTCTAGATCCGAGTTAGGGTTCTTGTCCTCCTCGCTGACTCGCCGCGTTGGAGCACGTCTATTTCCACTCCTTCAATCCGACACTATATCATGTAAAATGACAGTTTTGCCCTTATATTCGAGATACATGAGATTGCTAAATATATTAGTGATTATGTGGTAGAGACATATTATGATACATGTTATTTATTAGTTTGATGGTGTATGCATCAAATTGGACGTGGTAGTCATCTCTAGTTGTATAAAACTTGTCCTTACGCTCTGTTCTATTTTTTCTACCTTTCTCAACTTAACCCCTCATTTTTCGCGCGCATGTTTTCTAAACTGTTAAACAATATTTTTTTTTTTGCAAAATTTTTCAATACGAAAGTTGTTTTTAAATAATTATAATAATCCATTTAAAAATTGCTAATATTTAATTAATTATATATTAATAAGTAGCTCTGGTGTACCGCAACGAACACAGTCGAGGAGGCGAGGGGCGTCGTGGGAGAGAAACGCGGGGAGGGCGGTCTTGCGGTGCGGGGCGGACGGCGGCGGGTCAGCGAGGAGGAAGGTGGTCGGGTAGTAGAGGCCATCGACGGCGGAGAGGCGGCCGACGATGCGGTCCATCGCCGCGGGCTCCATCATGGCTGCCGCCGCCGGCGTCGTGTCGTGTACTCGTGTTCGTGTCGGCGTGGCGAGGATGCCTTCCTCTTTTAGCCGGGCCGGATTTGGGCTTTAGGCGGGGGGATGGGCTTAGGTCGGTTTGGTTTTGAATGGGCCTTGGCCCATGGGGATATGTACGGGGAATTGGATAGGGTGGTGGGGCCGGGCGTGGTGTCACGTGACGGTGGTCAGGTACAGTAGCTGTTTCCGTGCCGGTCCGGTCGGTCCACCGGTTGATCCGGCTCGGTGACCGTGATCTTTGTTGGCGTGTGAAAGAGAGAATCGATGAAGCAAAGCCATCGGTACTCGACGGTACATGGTGTTTTTTCTTTTTATTTTACCAATAACTTATATACGGTCAGTGAAAATTAAGTGGCCATGTATCAAGAGTTTATTTACAAGTTTATATTACTACAAGTGTCTAAATTTTATTTCAACTAATTTAAACAAAGTATAAGATATCAAGCATATTTTATAGTTTGATTTTTACAGTTGTTAAAGCTGCATTGAACATCACAGTTGTTCGGTCATCAGTCAAGAATGCATCTTAGCCGTTTGGTGGCTGTAGCCACTGCTAGTTATCTACTCTCTCCGTCCTATAATATAAGGGATTTTGAGTTTTTGCTTGCAACGTTTGACCACTCGTCTTATTTAATTTTTTTTGAAATTATTAATTATTTTATTTGTAACTTACTTTATTATCTACAGTACTTTAAGCACAACTTTTCGTTTTTTATATTTGCAAAAAAAAAATGAATAAGACGAGTGGTCAAACGTTGCAAGAAAAAACTGAAAATCCTTTATATTATGGGACGGAGGGAGTACGTTAGACGTTGTAGCAGTTGTTGCAGCCACAGCGCTGTAGCAGACAACTCTTCTGAACAAGTTCATTCAATGGTTATGGTCATATATTTGTTGGTTAAAATTATATGTTTAATATTTCTGACATTAACTAGTATAGGCTAATAAAATACTACTCCGTATAGTGGTAGAATTTATTATTTACTGGTGTACGTGTATTAATCAATTAATGTACAACTCAACTAATCTACACTACTCCTACTCCTACAAGTACCATTTATCTACTACTCCATTTGAGATTCAATTTTTAATTCAGGTAGAATTTTGAAAGTGCTAACCAAAAACAAGGCAACAGACAGCCTCACAATTCCAAAAACCGACAGCCATCCGCCTCCATCGCTCTCTCACAGCCTCACTCTCACTCCACCCCACTGGGGAAAGCCAAAGCCGCGGGCCGAAGCCAACGCGGCAAAAGCCCAACCCCCCGAGATCCCTCCCCGCCGCGCCGGCGGAATCCCCGGGCCTCGTCGTCGTCGGCGGCGGCGATGGGGTCGGTGTCCCTCAACGTGCCGGCACCCCGCCGCGGCGGCGGCCGGCGCATCTCCTGCCACTGCACACCGTCGCTGCTCAACCTGCTCATGTTCCTCGCCCTCCTCTCCACCAACGCCCTCGCCCTCCTCGCCTTCTTCTCCTCCTCCTCCTCCTCCTCCTCCTCCCCCGCCGCCTCCGCCGCCACCGCGGCGGCCTCGACGATCTCCGACCACGTCGCGGCCATCGCCCGCGAGATCGACACCTCCTCCTCCTCCCACCTGCCGTACCGCGCGGACGGCCTGCCACCGGAGCTCCTCCTCTTCCTCTCCCCGCACGCGCTCCCGCTGGGCCGCGACGCCCGCACGGGGCTCACCCACATGCCGGCCTCCGTCGCGCACTCCTGCTTCAGGTCGCCCGCCACGCTCTCCCTCCTAGCCGCCTTCATGTCCTACGACCCGCACGCCGCCTGCCCGCGCAACGCCACCCTGCAGCAGCACCGCCTCCTCTCCAAGGCCTGCGAGCCGCTGCCTCGCCGCCGCTGCCTCTCCGGGGGGCCCCGCGCGGCGCTCCCGGCCTCCAACATGGGCGTCGACGGCCGCCGCTGGGTCAGGCCGCGCCACGACTACGAGTTCCTCCTCGACGACGTGCTGCGCCTCGGCGCCACCAGGATCCGGATTGGCCTCGACGTCGCCGGCGGCGCCGCCAATTTCGCCGCGCGGATGAGGGACCGCGGTGTCACCGTCGTCACCACGGTGCTCGACAACGCCGGGAAGCCCATGAACGAGTTCGTGGCGGCGAGGGGGCTGTTCCCCCTCCTCCTCTCGCCGGCGCACCGGTTCCCCTTCTACGACGGGGTGTTCGACCTGGTGCACGTCGGCACCAATGCGCTGGACGAAGGTGGCGCGCCATCAATGGGGAATTCCGGCACGGAGGAGGCGCTGGAATTCTTCATGTTCGATGTCGACCGCGTGCTCCGCGTCGGCGGGCTGCTCTGGATTGATAGCTACCTGTGCCAGAGTGAGGAGAGGAGGCAATTGGTTGTGAATCTCATTAAGAGATTTGGCTACAAGAAGCTCAAGTGGATGGTCGGAGAGAAAGCCGGCACGGGGAGCGCAAAGACGGCATTGTACCTCTCGGCATTGTTGCAAAAGCCGGCGAGGGATTGATACTGAACTGATGGATGAATTGCTCCAAGCTCATCACTTGATCCGAGGTACGAATGTACCTCACAACTATTACTTGTAGTTCAGCTGTTTTGATGGCAAAAAAAAAAAAGAAAAGAAAAGGGAATGCCATTTAGGTTCCACGGAACACGGATTAGCTTGATTACATTGGTTGTTCAGAGATAGTGAAGTGACTTAAAATAAGTGCAAAAGTGGTACAATTCTTCTACTTTTGTTATTGTGCAATAGGTTGCCATTAGATGGGAAACATATGTTGTAATAGTAGGATTTGTTGCTCAACTGGGGGACTGAAAACAGGACTTCCATTCCAATGATGTGTTCTTTCATATCAGGAAGTAAAGGAGAGTAAATGATGATGATCATGGAGCTTTTTATTTGTTACTAGTATGTGTCTTGTGTGGTCCCTCTGAAGCTGAATTTCCCTTTTGTGTTGTGAATACTTGAATAGTGTATTGCATAGCTTTTCCAGTGGATTTGTTCTTCTGGAAAGTTGAGGACTTGAGGATCTAGATTCCACTCTTTCTCTTCTTTTTTATAGTGCTAGGACAACCAGAATCCTTTGGTCTGTAAGGAAAGCTGAAAGGTGTAGGAAACCACATGACACAGAAGAACATGTCAAAGAATTACATTCCTACTTGTTTGAGCCTATGCTTGGATATGAAAAGCTTTCCTGACACAAATCATGGTATGGACTGCTCATGTATAGTATTGAATATGTATGATATACTTTGTTCCTATTTTCTCCTTGACAATCTCTGTTGTATCATGTAACACCTTCATTTTAGTTATACCAGTCAATGTACAAGTGTAGCACAAACTTTTCCCCGAAAAACAAACATGCTAACTGTATGGGAAAGGAGCTGCGCGTGGAAATTATATAGTTTTTGTGGTTTCATACTTCTGTATCTACTGGCTAGATGCTAATTCTTTTGCAGTTCTATCACACAAAAGGGAAATGTGGAGAAATAATTGGGAATGTCAGGAAAATGTACCAGCCATTAACTGAGGGGCCTCATCAGTAATTTCTAAAACTGCTAACAAAATTTGTTAGATGATGCCAAGAAACAAGAAATTGCTACGTCATATCATAGTAATTGAGGATCTCTCGGTCAATTGAACCCCTTCGGTTGACGTTATAGGGTAAGTTTGCGACTTTATATCTCACCCCTTCAATTGAGGCCTCCTCTGGAATGGAGAAATTTCAAAGAAATTTTTGGTGAGTTGAACTAAATCCTGTAAAATTCAGGTGTTATAAAAGAAGCACTGTTAGGACCTTAGTTGATCTGTAACATCCATGTAGTGAATCTGTGAATGGCCCAGTTTCAAACTCATGTTTTTGTGTTGAAAGTTTAGACGTGTAATGTAAATGAACTAGTGGAGAGCAGATTAATGAGTTGCATCAACAGTTCTTTTTTCTTTTCTTTTTTTTTTTTGCAACATATAAGTTGAATTTAGTTTTACATGTTTGTAAGGTGATATATATCATATTAATCTATGTTGTTAAACTTTTTCAATTTTTTTATTACTATTTTGGTGACATGAAAAAAACGATGGGATGCCCCCCTCGAGTAATTAAAATCCATCTAAGATGATTAGGTCTTCTGCTCTATGCCTGTTTATTTAAGCTAGCTCTGATCGGTCACAGTGGATTTTTTTTTTGTTATTTTTCTGAACACTTTTAATTTGTAATTTTTATAATAAACTCACCAAAAATTTTAAATCCGTACCTTTTTACCACATTAGTAAAAAGTCATGGTGTGGTAGACAAATGCTATCACACCAAATGAGTATGGTGTGGTAGTGTTGTCCTGATATCCTGCCACGCCATATTTGTTTTCCATGGGTTTGTTTTTTTTAAGGTTTAAAAGTAATAAAATTTTGTCACAACTTAAGGTCTAAAGGCTGAATTTACGGTTGGTCACATTAGTTTATTTAGTTGAATTAGCTTAAGCAAAGAAGCACCCGCGCATCCATCCTGGTTAGTATTCCTAAACATCTTCCTATTTCATCTCGCTCTGTTTTCTCAAAGCGAAAAAGTAGCTATATGCTATAGAGAAAAGGCGGAAAAGGGTCGAATAATGCTCAAACCCTATTCAAAATCGGACACCATATCCACATATGTTTGAATTTGGTGCCGAATCAGATCGTTGCCCCAATTTTGAATACAAGTACACACATCAATGCTTCATGAATCATGATCAAGAAACTTGTAAAAGAAAAGAAAAATCCAGAACAGAATTCAAGAAAAGTAAAACGATTTAGTTATCTATCACACTAACTAATCACTCCATAATTCCATTTTTTTTTCTGTAGAAGAGAAAGCTAATATACATGTTAGTGTTAGTACTTATAGTACAAGTTGCTACACTTTACGAGGCCATCAATGGCGCCGGCGTGGTTGAGGACGCCGGAGTTGGGGAAGAAGCGGTCCACCATGGCGTGCAGCACGTCGGAGGTGAGCAGGCTGTCGGAGCCGGCGTTGTGCGCGCGGCCGGCGGCGCGGTGCACGCCGAGCGCCGCCGCGACGTGCTCCAGGCCGCCGCGGATGCCGCCGCCGCCGCCGCAGAACTTGGCGAGGTGCTTCACGTCGAGCACCGCCGGCCCGAATATCTTGCTGACCTTCGCCATGAACCCTTCCAGGGTGCTCGGCAGCGGCCGGCCGCCGGTGAGCACCTTGACGAGGTAGGCGAAGTCGTAGGAGCCCGAGAACGCCGCCCACGTCAGGCGGCCGCAGGCGAGCTTGGAGCGGCCGAACGCGCGGGCGAAGTCGCCGTGGTCGATGCCGTGGCGGCGGAGGGCGGTGAAGTCGACGCCGTGCGCGGCGAGCATGGCGACCGAGCTCCCCGAGTGCGGGTCGCGGCGGGCGTCGAAGCCGGCGAAGTTGAACTGCCACGCGACGGGGCACCGGCCGGCGGGGCCCGACAGGGCGAGGCCGAGCTGGAGCAGGTGGAGCTCGTCGACGTTGCGCTTCACGACGGCGTAGCTCTCCCGCGGCGTGCGGAGGTGGCGCGGCGTGGCGACGTCGTGCACCGTGCCGGGGAACTCCGTGTCCATGGACACGACGGGGTAGGTCGGCAGGAGCGCCCCGATGCTGCGCAACTCCTCCTCCAGGTTCGCCGCCCACACGTCCCGCACCTCCACCTCGTCGGCGGCGGCGGAGGCGGCGGGCGACCGCGGCGAGAAGCTGGGGGCGTCGGAGTTGAGCTTAGACCGGGCGGTGACGATCTCCGGCGGCGCCGACATGTGCATGAAGCCCAATCCAGATTGGACGGCGGCGATCGGGAAGAACGGGAGCGGCGGCGGCGGCGCGAGCATGACCGGGCCGACGTCGCCGGGGAACATCGGCATGGCTGGTCGCGGTGGTGGTGGTGACGAGGCTGCTCCGGCGATCGCGACACGGCGGCGCGTCTCGTTTGCGTCGTCGTCGTCGAGCGGCGGCGAGGTCGGTGGCGGCGTGCGTGGCATCATGTCCGGGTTTTATAAAGGGAGAGGGCACGTAGACGCGTGGGCGTGGCGAGCCAGTCCGACACGGACTCGAGCAGCCGACCGAGTTGGATCGTGAATCGGATTCGGCGCGTATGTGCATATATGCGACGTCACTCCAGATGCGATCTCTATTTTTATTTTTTTTAATTAATGATTTTTATCATTAATCATTAATGATTTTTATTTTTATTTTTTAATTAATGATTTTTATCATATGCGATATATTTATTAATACTACTTCTACATTCGTAGTTGTATTGTACTCCTGTAAAAATTTGATATAAAGCGTGTGTTGTGAATACGTATCCAGAGCCTCAAGACAAACGAATGTTTGATTGATTTAGCATGGGATAAAAAAAAAGTGTGCAATCGTGCGGTCGGAAACGGTAGTATCTCTTCCAAAACGATTTCAGAATTCGGCTATAATAAGACGCTGAAACAAAATCAGAATTTATATATTGTTAGAATAACATACGGTCGAAAACGGTAGCACTTTATCCATAAAGGATACTCGGTTGGTCGGGAATTTTTATAGCCGTTTTCATCTTTACATCGTATCTAATTTGTAAAGATAATTAAATCATAATAGAGTATTGACTACGTGATACTCCATTCGTCAAAAAAAAACATGTGACATACTACGAATCTGGACAGTCCATAGCACCCCCTGTTAAATGGGGGATGGTAGGTAGTAGGAGGATACTTGAGGATAAGATGAGAAAATATTTTTAGAGCAAAGCTTAAATATATAATTACACTTATCTTAGAACGGAGATAGTCCAAAAGAAGAAATGTGGTAATTTTGTGCCCTCTAACACAATGTGTATGCTTAAAGCTTTCATTAATTGTAGTGTTATACAAAAGAAGAAACTTGTTTGGTGGGAATGGCAAATAGCTAAATTCCCCGTATTCGGAGGGATCATTTTGTTCATATTTTATAGAAAATATGAAATTTTAAACCACTATAGTTTAACTTACAAACTATAGTTATTTTTAAACCACTATAGTTAAAGTTATTTTTTGAAGCTTGAGATTTATGGTGTGCTTCCACAATATTTGAAGTGTTGTATTTAATGTTTAAGACTACTTTTTTGATACATTGTGAATACCCTTATATTTGATCCAGATACAACCTCCATCTGAGAATATAAGGGATTTCCCCCATATAATTCTATAAAAAAAATCCCTCATATTCTTATACTGAGGTAGTATTAAGTTGTGTCAAGCATTGCTGTGTACTACAGTAATGTGTCCGTATCGGTCACGGGCTGATGCTTCATGCTTTGCATTCTCTCTTATGGATCACAAACAAGTTGGTTATCTTCAGACACTGATTGTGTAGAAGACTACTAATTCAACATGCCTGAGAGATTATGAGTAAGAGTTTTAGTTTAACATAGCAAAACTTAAGCATGAACGGGGATGTAGCTCAGATGGTAGAGCGCTCGCTTAGCATGCGAGAGGTACGGGGATCGATACCCCGCATCTCCACCTGTTGTTGTTTTCATTTTTGAAAAATGCAATCTTTAGTTTTCTTCCATGCAGCAATCATGTAACCGCCGCATCATCTACATTCTCCCAAATTATTTTTTAAAAATTGATTCTTGTTTGTTTTTCTTTTCCAAATTGAAAAATGCAATCTAAAGTTGTCTTTCATGCAGCAATCATATGTAACCGCCGCATCATCTATATTCTTCCAAATTGAAAAAAATGCAATTAGCAGTTTTCTTTCATGCAGCAGTGATCCATAATATACCTGCACCATCTACATTCTCTGATCTTAGAATATTAACAAACGACAGCATAACATTCAACAAAGTTCTGTTGATAACAGCACTGCAATAACGATCTGTTTATCACAAACGCCCGAAGCAAAAATACACCAAAAATGCTGGAAGAAATGTTGTGGTCACAGTGGAATCAAATTATTGAGAGGTCCTCATTCATCAACGAGAAATGCATCCATATTAAGTCACAATTACAGCATTCCCAAAAAATACTCTTATCTACAGAATAGGGGCCTGACTATCAGCTGACAAATTTCATCAAATCAATACTAAGTGTTTTAGTAAGTTATATCTGCTGGTGTTCTGGTCACACCTCCTGAAATATACAGCGCAAGTATGCTTTCAGGTATCAACATTCCCAACAGCAAGTTCACAGTTTTTTTTTTCTTTTTTAGCAAAAGCAAGTTCACAGATTTGAGTACAGGCTTGGCTTGCTTGCTTACTCATCCAGGTTTACCCTGGTCCTCCTTGGCTTGTTGTATAGTGTTCGTACGCTTACACGAGTCTGGTCAGATTCATGGCTCCCGATTGAAAGGGAATCCATATCATCGTTGATCGTGCGGTTGATCATCAATATCTGTCTGTGCTCCATTCGCTGCCTCCTTTCCTGAGATTCCGTGCCATCGTCAATCGAATTCATGCTGTTACCATGCATCCTCTCTTGAGCCAACCAATTTGCCCGCTCTCTGATACCATCCATGTTAGATTGCATGCCAGGTGCATCCTGCTGATATCTTGACTCTCTCAATGGACCAACAGGGCGTCTTTCTCTCTCAGCACTTGAACCAGAGATGGTAGGCTGGCCATGGAAGTTTTGCTGTGACGAAATGCCAGTGACTTGAGCTTGTGCATATTGAGGAGGTCCATCTCCGAGAATGCCGCCCCGTCCACCCTTTCCAGGAGATGTTCTTACTTTAGATTTCTTGTTCCTGTGTGCTTTGCTCGGATTTCTGATCTGTATGTCAGGCTGCTTGCCCTTACCTTCATCTGATGATCTGCCAGTTTCTTGTACAGCTGTTTCTAGAGGAATTATGTTAAGCAATTCTGGATCATCTCGGAAATTGAACGGACGCTTCGCTGGATCCATCTTTCTGAAGGTAATGGATATCCTGTGTTTTAATTAGTGTGTCAGAGTTCAAATGTTATACAGGCAAAGGAATTGAGTTCCAAAAGCCAAATGATAGAACAGGATATCAGTATCACAACCTTTTGGTCGGAACTGCAGGAACACAATGCTTTGCTACATCAGCACCATTGCCATTTAGGATAAGCACCGACCTGTGAATGTTTGTATTTAGTATATAAGAGAACTAAAGAGCTGCAGAAGAAAACTGAAAGACATGATGAGACACGAATAATTGAATATTATTAAAGTGGCCAATGCAAAAATTACATACAGTTAGTATTTTAGAGTTTATGACAATCCAATGAGAAGGAAACACAGCAACAAACAAGTATGGAGTAGAAATCTCTCTCAGCAAAAACTTCAAGCAAAGTCTAAAGGAGAAAAGTTCAGGGCCTGTTCGGTAGGACTAAATTTGGCTGCAATACAGCCATCAGCTACAGTACTGCGCATACAATCTCTACAGCAGCAGCACAGCTGCAGAAGTATGACAGCCAGACAGGCCCTTAGTAATCATACCATGCAATACCATTCAAGAAATCGAATGAGAAGTCTACACAGCCTTTGAATTCATGAGTAATCAAGTTTAAAACAATAATAAATAAAATCAATTTGTTAACATCCCAAATAGCACAACTGGCTACCACAAATAATCTATCAGCACAGCGAAAAGCATGAGAACATACCCAACAGGCAGAGGAATTGGAAGTGAACCAGTGAACTCTCCAGGGCCAGCAATTTTCAGAGTAGATCCAAAAAGAATGTTGCACTCACTGAGGAATGAAACAGTACAGAATGGCCGAACAAAATCATGACTATCAATATGTGGTGGGATGCAATCTCCAGGGTCATATATATTGACAATACAACTGTCTGGTATGCAAGTCTTTGGTAGAACATGCCACCGTACCAATCTCTTGATCATGATCTTAAATAAGCTAGGCATCGGATCAGAAGCAATAGTTCGAATAATGCCTGGTGGGTTTCCATTCTTGTCCTGTCATCACAGATTCAAACCTTAGATGGATTCACATGTGAATTAAATCAGTACCACTGCAGTATTCAAGCTGATGGGATCAGAGGATAAAACTAGAGTATGTACCGTGGCATAATTATAACAGCATCCAAATTGGATTGTTACTCGCCCTTTACCACGCATCCACCTTTGGGGTTCCGTATACGTACGATCTGACAGGGGGATATTATGCTTGGATTTAGATATACAAAAATACAAATAAACAAAACATGGCAAATAAATAAATGCAGCTGTGAGCCCAAGAAAATTCATGTGCGTATAGCATTTGTAAAGCAGAAAGAAGGACCTTGGATAGCACTAAATAGAGTAGGCTTCCCAATATATAGTATACACTCACCCAAATAAGGATGAGAAATTCTATTCCGGTCCAATGGCCTAAGGTGAATCAAACAGGCTTAGGTGCTTCAGGGTACTCTAAAGTGTGGCCATTTGTTAGTGTTATACTGGGCCCTCAGTAGATAAATAGTGCATAGCTTGAATATTAAATTAATTAAATTGAAAAGAAGAACGCAGATATGTAAACTGGAATGAAGGTCAGGCATCTCACTCAACATGTTACATTTACTTCAATCGTGGTTATTGTGGTGTGCACGACTGTAAGAAGCACAGAAAATCATGCATGTCTGTTTTAATATCCATGCTGAGAACGCTTATGCAGCATATAAGCAAAGAAACCAAAAACACTCAGAGATTACTGTAAATAATACATTGAAACATATTGAGGTTTACACAAATGGGGAAACACCATTATGACAGAATCATGTGTACAGAAAACAATGAAAATGTTTTGCTATCCGCTACGCTTCTCCTGGACAGACAGATTTCGGCAGATGCTTCTGATTGTGTAGTAGGGTGAAACTGTGTTATTTTTGTCAAATATGGCTGATTATGTTATGATGGCAATACCTATAATTTATCAAATACCATATTTATCTTCCTGCTTGAAATCACAAAAGCTAATCTGCTACTTGTGGTAGGTAGATCCAATGATTTAGTAGAATAATTACCAAAAAAGTTTGTAGCTTTGAGTGCATACCACATAGAACAAGACATGAGAAAACCAATTTTATAATAATTCTTCGGCTTTCTACTTTGCACGAGAACACTATACAAGTTCCAGTTCTACACGATAGAACTACTGTGGTGCATATAGACATCTAAATGTTTGCCTATGATCCATATCCCCACAACTACCATAGCCTAAGTAGCAAAGCATGACCTTAATTACAGCTAAAACCTTTGCCTAAAATTTTACATAATCCTGACCTAAAACCCTTTTCATTAAAGCATTTCTCAAAACTCAAGACTTTACATGAAAATTTAGCCAAATTCAACTAGCGCCATAGAAAAACATATCGAATCTCCATGCAGCTTAAATCTCACCTCCAAGCTCCCCGTGCTTGCCCATCTCCTGAAGATCGTATACGTAGTCGACAATACGCTTCTGTTCGGCCGCGCTAAACACACCGCAATGAAGTTCCAGGCCAGCGAGGATATTGACGAGCCGACCATTGACCCTCTCAAAACAGATGAAATCCTTCCTCCGCACCACGTTCCGGAACCGCCTCAGCTCCCGCTGCTCCCTCGTCAGCTGCACACCCGGCCTACCAGCCTCGCTCCCTTCCTCGCCGTCATCAGCCGCGGCTGCCGCCGCGTCCTCCTCTGCCGCGGCGGCGAGCTCGTCCTCCTGAGCCATGTCTGCCCACGACTTCCGCGGCTTCTCCGCCGGCTGCGGCTTCTGCTTCTGCTGCTCCTGCTCCGGTGGCAGCTGCGGCGGATCCGAGTCCCATCCGCTCGGCTCGAACGGCAGATGCTGCGGGTGAGCCGTAGCCGGATCGGACTCCCACCCCGAGGGCTCAATCTGATCGATCCGCGGCGGCGGCGACGACGGGGATTCCTCGGCTGTCAGAGTCGAGGTGAACGGGGGGGCGTAAGAGGCAACAGCACAAAAACCCTAACTACGGCGAACCCAGCACACGGGATTGTTACCTTGCGGGGGCAGCAGGGAGGAGACGCGGCTGCGGAGGGAGTCGGCGCAGGAGGCGCAGAGGCCCGCGGAGAGGAAGGGGAGCCACGTGGTGAGGAACTCCCCGGCGATGGCGAGCTCGTCGGCGTTGTACCCCTGCACGAGCGCCATCGCGTCGGCCTCGCCGCCGGCGGAGGCGGAGGAGGAGGCGTCCATCGAAGCGTCTCTCGCTGCCGTGTGGGCCCCACCCTCCCTGTGCCTCGATGTGATAACTAGTACTAGTACCCCTAGCTTCTAGTTGTTGGTATCCGGATAATCCTGGCCGTCCGTTGTACGATCGGACGGTCTCGCTGGTGTGTGGGCCCCACCTCGCTAGTGCTCTAGTTGTTGGTATCCGGATAATCCTGGCCGTCCGTTGCACGATCGGACGGTCAGGATCGGACTCAGCGAGGAGAAGAGGAGAAAAATCTCGAGATGAAATGGACGCGTAACCTGACTCCGATTCGGATCCCCCACCGGCGAGATGGCACGCGGATCCGCCGCCGCGGCGATCGCCGGAGTTGTGTGGGTGCTTCTCCTCCTCGTGGGGGTGGCGTCGGGGGCGCGTCTTCCGGGCGGGAGCGGGGGTAACCGGGGGCGGGAGCCGCGCGGGGGAGCGGCGGCGGCGGCGGTGGCCACGGAGACGGCGGTGTTCGCGCTGGGAAGCTTCTGGAGGTCGGAGGCCGCGTTCGGGTGCCTCCCCGGCGTGATCCGCACCTCCGTCGGCTACGCCGGCGGGTCCAAGGCCCGCCCTGAGTACCGCAACCTCGGCGACCACGCCGAGTGCGTCAAGGTGCGGTGCGGAGACTCCCACGCTTTTAGCTGTTCTTGATCGATACCATGAACCAATGATATGTTCAGTTCCATGGTCGTAGCAATTCATTTCCGTAGTTAGCATCGTAATCTGATTGGCCATTACCATTTCGTATGTGTAAGTTAAAAACTGAAAGAAAATACTCGCGAGTTTTCATTTCCATCGTAATCTGTTTTCTCTTGGTTCCAAGTTTCATTTTCATTGCTTAATGAGGTATCATTACCTAAAAAAACTAGAAGGAATGTTCTATGGTCAAACAGGAACGATTCATCACTGCCAGATCTGCTTCTTGTGTGTATTTTTTTGTGCATAAAACAATCGGAGATGTTTGTCCGTTGAGTGCTTCATTCAATTGCATGTGTGTGTGTGTTGTAGGTTTTGGAGTGGTATACTGGTATTAATACTTTGCAGGGCCTCCTTCTAAACTAACTTTGTTGGTGTTTTATGAGCTAAGATGATTGACATTTTTGAGTCATTTAGGTTGAATATGATCCCCGGTTGATTCAGTACAAGAAACTTCTAGAGGTCTTCTGGGCAAGTCATGATCCACGAGAGGTCTTTGGGCAAGGACCAGATGTTGGCAACCAATACAGGTGCTTGAGTTTTCTAAACCTAACCCCTTTTGTGCAATAGATCTTTTTGTTCACAGTTTACCATAGTCAGATTTATATACTAATGATGTGATTATCTTTTATAAACATGTTTCATGCTAAAACTTAGACTGGTTTCCATACCAGCATTTAGCATATGGTATTTGCTAAGTTTCACAACAAAGCAATTGAGAATTGAAAGGTGTACATTTCATTTCATCACCTTTGTCTATCCTACTTCAAACAAGTACCTTTGTGTACAAAATGTTGCCATCATGGCTTAGGAAATAATTGGTCACTGAATGGTGTAGCTGTCATTCTCACTAGTTTGATAGGATCCTCAGACAGCACTGTAATGCGTCAATTTTAATTCTTGCTTCACTTATGTGGTCACAGATCCATCATCTTCACAAATGGATCCGTGGAAGCTAGATTGGCTGGTCTTAGCAAAGAAAAAGAACAAGCTAAGGATCGCCGCAGTGTCATTACCACACAGATCCAACCAATAGGTGCATTTTATCCGGCTGAACCGGAACATCAGGTAGCAATCCCATCTGAAAATTCGAACTCACCATGACATTCTATGTTTTATTTCCTTTTAGTTATTGCTTGTACTTTGGTAGAAATTTGAGCTGAAGCGCAAGCCGTTTCTCCTGCAACTGATTGGGAACCTGCCCGAGGAGGAGCTCCTGACCTCAACACTAGCTGCAAAGTTGAATGCATACGCTGCTGAGCTCTGCTCCCCAAATACCCAGAACAGAATAAACTCCAAGATTGATGAGATTGCTAAGAAAGGATGGCCCATCCTAAGAGACATTTAGCTCGGTGTTCCTGGGTTTTACATATTAATATATCATTATCCAATTGTGCATGATTTTGCCGCAAATCTTGTCCAGATGACTGGTTGTGGTCATTCCTTGGTCGCAGCAATCACTAATTAGCGTTCATGTCCTCCTCTGCTCATTTTGAGATCTCTCTAATAGAATCTGCATGTATATCCAAACTTTCGAGTTGTGTGATGTGACCTGAAATCCTGAATTTATGATTGGTTCTTACAGAACAGGTGCCGAAATTGTATATTGTTACTCTGGCTCTTTTATGTGTAAAAATATATGATGTGGATTCATTACATTCTTAATCAAAAACACTTATTCCCATGGAATGCTAAGAATTGTTCATTCTTTTGAAAACAAAAATCACATTTTGTTCTTATGGATTTTTTTTCACAGTTTGCTCTTCGGAATGAGTAATGGGCTAATGGCCACAGTGAAATGGCGCCAGCAACGCTATACTAGATTTTTCTTGATGGTACAATTGCATGGAACACACAATCTACAGGTGGAACATAAGACCCTTTTTTTGGGAAACATTTCGCTATTGTTGCAACCTCACACAGCTAAGCAGAGACTAGTTATTTACATGCTCCATAGAAGGAAGAGATTATTTTGCAAGGCTATTTCTCAGAAACATTCTAAACAACAAGTGAAGACACAAATGCACAATGGTCAGAGGCCACTAATTAGGTTGCTGCTTGACTCTTTTTGAAGCAGTTCTGGCCAGAGCATTGCATATCTCCCTCTTTCTTTTCGCATTTTCATCAGTCCTGCCAGAAGCGACGTTGGCCTGTCGTTCCAATGCTTCCCTCACAAAGAATTTCAACCTCCAGAGGGTTGTCTCACTCTGCACCCGCATAGGAAGCATGGTTAGAATAAACAAAATAACCAAAATATTACAGAGGTAAGTGTTTGGACAGCACATATAAAATCACCTGAGCATCCATATCAAGTTCCAGTTCGTCTCCTTTAGCTTCGAAGCTAGGGTTGTCTTGTGCAACCATCTCCAATGCCTTAGTAAGCTCTTCTGGAGACAGGTGGCAGAGACCTGCACCCAGTTTTCTTTTCTCATATGTAGTCATTTTCCTACAACATCAAGATTTTGGCAACATGCCACGTGCATGAGTTTGACAGCAGTTGCAACTTATAAACAGCAGATAATTAAATCGATAGGCAACAGATGAACATTTGTAAGATGTACCGGCATTTCTGGACCACCATTTGCCGAAGCTCCTCCAACTGCTTGTTGATTTCAATCAGCTGGAATAAGAAACCAAAGAGAACACACTTAATATCTAACAGAATATCAGAACATTAGTACAAGGAATGAAGAGCAGGAGTTGCAGGCATTTTGTGTGTCAGCCTTCTAGAAAAATCACAAAAAGGTATATCCATAGGTCAGGAACTCAGGATATACACGGCTGCTCAAATTGGCCACATTACATACTCAAGAATTGAATCCATAGTGGCACATCTTTATTGACAAACCAAAAAAAAAAAAACATAACAAAACACATTTCTGTGAGGCCTGAGTGTTGCAGTTCATATTCTGAATGGCAGTCAAGTCATTACATTTTGCTTTGTGGAATGAGTGATCATTAAAGCTGCCATCGATGTGCCGAAAATAACAAATAACAGTCAATGATGAGCATACCTCATTGTCAGTATCTTTTGCTAGTTTTGCAATAGCTTCTTCTGGAGAAATGTTCACTTTTGGAACACCGTTGGATTCCTCATCCTTTTGTTTCCTTTCCTAAAAAGAAAAGTTCCAAGTTATTACTGTCAAATGCTAAGTAACCCATATCTGCAGCTCCAAAAAGAACTAATATATGCTTACAAACATTCATTCACCTCATTTTCAACTTTAGGAAGAAGCTGGAGCCATTTCTCTTCAAATTTCTCAAGCAATGATTTCGCCATTATATGAACATCATGTCGTTCATCATTGTACTTCATTGCATTGGCAAAAATTAATCTAACATCCGAATATATTTCTCGGACATTGTTATACTTGTTGTCATCTTTCCCTTCCATTTTCTTTTGTATGGTCGAAAAATCCATAGGTTTGGTGATAATCTGTAAATAAGACAAATTGAAAACATAAATATCACTACAAACTCATTTCAGGGAGGCATAATATAGTAGTAGTAGATGTCCAAATCAACACTGCTTGACAAGCGCAGAGCAATAAATATCACCCAAAAGAAAAAAGAATGCCATTTAACTGAGATGTTTATATTTATATATAGCAATTGGAGGTCTCCTACAAGCTCCCACGTTAATGCTATTAGGGGGGAAGCTGGAACACATTAGCCCATGAAAAAAGGGGGGGGGGGAGGGGGGGAGTACAAATAACCACATTAATCTGAAAAGGGAAGGAAAAGAAAAGATGCTAAGCGTTCATCTGAGAAACCCATGGATACTCTACAATAGAACAGATCTACTGTGTAAGGAAACATCTGATTCTGCTAGAAAAAGAAACCACCGAGTGATGTACACTATAAGCATAAAAGAATCAATATTAACACACCATCTTTGCATGTCTGATTTTTGCAGGATTAAGCAATAAATAAACAGATAGTAGAAGAGGACAAGGTAGTAAAAAATGCCTGACGCGACCTGTGAAACATGAAACACAATCCAAACACGCATAGCACACATGTGCATAGCTGCGAATGAATCCATGTTTAAATAGGAAACAAATCAACAAAGCAATCATTAGACAAGAGTACAGCATACCGTGCGGTCATACCTAGTTAGCAAGACTCTGCATAGTCACTACATTGCCAATAAATTAAACCTACATGGACTCAAACACATAGGTTCTAAAAAGGATGTACTTTATAAGAGGTATTTGCATCTATAAAAATTAAGAACGTGCTGTACTATCACAATATTGCATATAGTAGGATAGAATGCATACATGATTATTATGTGCCATATATGCAGATGGAATAAATCATTCAAAACATTTGAAATAAAACGGGCAAGAAACTTTACAATTTAGAACTACAAAAGTAAAAATATCAAGGGATACAAGAATTCTAAAAATTATCTGAACCATCGAAATATATGAACTCTAACAAGAAAGAACAATTATAAGTTCAAGATTAATCAACAGACCATCTGGCAACAAATGTTGGTGCCTGAGCCAAGAAGAGGGTCAAAATTCAAAATGCAATTATTTACAAATAAGTCAGCAGAAACCATGATAGAATTAGATTTATACAATTTACTGAAGATTACAAAATCGAGTTAACAGTAATTTATTGCCGCACATATTCAAACCAGAAGAATAAATACAGAAAATGAATTTACTTTCCACTATTTGCCATATTGAAATGTTTGAATTAAAAGCTTGTGATAAGTTTATTATAGCGTTAATACTAAAGCTTTGGTCCAAAATAAAATCAAAGGTTGTGTTTGACTGATTAGAATTCATACATGCATGTTCTTCAACAATAAACGGACACATATACACACACAAACCTTAAACGTGACACGGTAGATAATTTGTTATAGATGTATAATTACTAGCTCATGTGGGTGCACAGATTCTGACTAGTTCATTTAATCGGTTACCAAGAAATAAAATAAGTGTCCCTAATATTGCAGGACACATATTGCCAAATCTGAAGGATGCATCCATAAACCATTAGGATTGACAAATCAATGCTGCATTCCAAGAGTCCAACATCATTTTGGTCGTCTGTAATCCTAATTCATTATATCAGTGTGGAACAGTGTCACAAGTCGAACAAGCGAACTCAGGGAAGAGAGAAGAGGGGGTTCACTCTGCTAGCAAATACAAGATGAAATGTGCTAGCAGTATTACCTTGTAATAGTCATCAAGCTGAAGGCCTACCACATCAACCGGCTTGAGAAATGGCTCGGCCCATTCATGAGATGTGATCTGGAAGAAAAGGAAATCAAGAAAAATATTGAGTGCATATCATGCGCATTTCATTTGGAAAGCTAGTAGTGTGTTTTGAGTGTCGAGTTCAACTACGATCAATCAATATGAATTTGAGAGGAAACAATGGAGCAAGACCATACAAATTTATCAGCATATCATCAAGCTAGATATATCTGTCTATTTTGAAGGATGTTTTCTATACATGGTTATGGAGCAAAATTAGAATCAAAACTAGCGGCAGAAATCTTAATTAAACTGCACTTATTTATCATTGGAAATAACAGTAGCCACACGTGCACAAGACCGGACAATAAATAGCTTTCTAGATTTTTTTTCAGTTAGACCTATCAGGTACAGTAGCCATGCACTATCCAAAATTAGCCTGCAAATTAAAAGCTTTTGCACCAAGCACATTCTGAAGCATGATTCAGGATACACTAAATACTTTGAGTTATCCATGCCAGCAAGCAAGAACAACATAGATCAATGCATTTGTCGGATTTTTCTTTTTTTTTTTTCCTCTCGAGATGTGGTTAAGAAAGATCACCTGGCGCACAATCGTGCCAAACTGGCGCATAAGATCAGGCATCCCTTTGGAAAGGCTGCTATCCTTGCGACCAGCCTTCCGGCCACCACTGCCATGTTTCTTCCCGTCGTAGAATCCCACCACTTCATTCACCCTCCTCTCCAGCTGCAATCCACATAAATCTCCAATCAAACCTCTACGCCCCAATTATCCGAATACAATAAATGCAAAACAAAGAAAAAAAAACTGTACCCTACTGTTTCCCTAACCAAAATCCCCAAAACCGCATACTACAGCGAGGCGAGAAGGAACTCGAAAATCCTTCCGCTGAAGAATCTCATCTACCAGGCTAAGCAGCGAGACGGACTACTTCCAAGGTTGGGGGAGTTGGTATTTATTTACCTGGTCGGTCTTGGAGACGAGGTCCTCGACCTGGCGCCGGAACGCGTCCACCTCCGTCCCCGGGGCCCTCTCCCCGGCGGCGGCGGCAGTGGCGGCCGTCTCCGCCGCCGCCATAGCCCTCCCTCCCTCCGCCCCCTGTGGGACTCCACCTCCCGGCACCATATCTAGGGCTCGCCGCCACGCGCGTCGCCGGCGGCCGTCTGCGAGCGAAAAAGGCGAAACCACCGGCGCCTCGACTCGACGGAATCTTTTTTTTTATTTTTTTTCCTTTTTTTTTGCCCCGCATCTCTTCTTCCCTTCACCTTCCGACCCTGTGGGCCGGATGGGATGGGCCATTTCCTGGGCCGGAAGACTTCGCCCTGCAGGATGTGGGCCCAAGGTGGGGCGGATGGAATTGTTGGGCCTAGTCAGCCTCGTGATTTGTTAACATGGGCCGGAGAAAAGGCTGGGGCGAACGGTACAGGGGCCGTAGGGCACACGTGGAATAAGTTCATATGAGTTCCTTAACTTGTCAACGAATCCGATTTTTGTCCTTAAACCCCAAAACCAGATATAACGGTCCCTCAACTATCAAAACCGGTGCAGATAAGGTCCTCGACGGTTTAGATGGCGATTTTTTCTGACGTGGCGCCTACGTGGCTATTTTGACTCGGTCTTCATCTGACGTGGCGCTTACGTGGCAATTCGATCCGGAAAAATAATAAAACCAGTGGACCCCACATGTCAGTTTCACACACAAAATAATTAAAAATGGTGGGACCCACGTGGGCCCCACATGTCATCTTCACTCCCCTCCTCTTCTTCCTTTTCACTCCCCATCTCCCCTCTCTTCATCTCGCCGGTGGCTGCTGGGAAAGAAGCAGCGTGTGGGCACCGGCCGTGGGCTCCGCCCGGAGGGAGGAGAGGAGCGGCGCGCGCGGGCGTCGGCCGGAGAGAGGAGAGAAGCGGCGCGCGCGCGGGCGGCGGCCGGCGAGAAAGGAGCCGCGCGCGGGCGACTTCTCCCTCTGCTTCCTCTCCCGCCGCCCCTGAAGACGACGACGGTGACGGGTTCAACGAGGAGAAGGACGAGCACCTCACCATCGCTGCCCCGCCCCCGTTTCCACCGTCCTCCGCGCTGCCCACCGACCTCGATGACGTCCTCTTCTTCCTCCTCTCTCCAGAAACCCACGGGTCACGGGAAGTTATGCGGCCGACGGCGGTGGCGGCGGCAGGTCATCAGCAAGTTTTTCTACAGTGTCGCGAACAACAACATAGGCAGCCGCGCAAAGAAATCCCATTTGCCTCATTCCACCACCTAGTGTCTTCCTAAGAATTTTAGCCTGAAAGTCCATATTTCCATCGTTACATCCCATCTGCAGTTTAAGGTAACAAGTTAACAAGCACAATTGAACAGACCTTTTCTATGAAGGCCGTCGAACCAACAATAACTGATCCAACAGGAGCGCCTAAGCCTTCAGATATGCACACCTGCAGTGCAAATTTCCGTCGACCTCCTCGCACCGCTCTTCACCGACCTCCTGCGGCGTAGACCTGCCGACGCCGTGGCCCGTGGTGTTCGACGGCGTCCTCCCGTGGGCTGCCACAGCGGCGGCCGAGCTCAGCATCTGCCTCGTCAACGGCGTCAGCGACGATGTCCTGAAGCGCGGACGCGGCGGGGAAGCGTGCGCCGTCACGGACGCCGCGCGCGCTGGCGTGGCTCAACGCGAAGCCTACGCGGTCGGTGGTGTACGTCTGCTTCGGCAGCCTCACCCGGTTCCCGCACGAGCAGGTCGCAGAGCTCGGCATGGGGCTCGCTGACTCCGGCGTGAACTTTGTGTGGGGTCGTCGGGGATAAGAACGCGTCGCCGCCGCAGCCAGGGTCGCCTCACGCCGCCCCTTCCTCTTACGCCCACAGCCGCCGGAGCGTGCCTCCGCCGCCGCGCGCCGCGGGCCGCTGTCTCTCCGTCGCGAGAAAGGAGATAGGAGAGAGATGAACTGATGAAGAGTGGGGAGAGGAGGAAGAAAAGGAGGGCTGAGAATGACACGTGGGCCCACGTGGGCCCCACTATTTTTAAATTAATTTGTGTGTGACACTGACATGCGGGTCCCACAAGGTTTATTATTTTTCTAAATCGGATTGCCCATGTAAGCGACACGTCAATGCCACATCAGATGAAGACCAAGTCAAAATAGCCACGTAGGCGCCACGTCAGCAAAAACCACTGTCCAAACCGCCATTTGCACTGGTTTTGACAGTTGAGGGACCTGTTGTATCTGGTTTTGTGGTTGAAGGACGGAAATCGGATTCGTTGACAAGTTAAGGGATCTTAGATGAACTTATTCCGGGACACGTTGCTACTTCGCCAGAGAGATCCTCAACGGCTCGATTGTCGCAGTCTCGCAGAGATCAAATTGCTGGCAAGAAGTGGCAAGAAGTTTTATTTGCGGTTTTTTTTTTTTGGCGGGGAACGGTTTCTTTAGTTCAAGTAAATGGTAGTACAAGTGCTAATGAGGTGGCTTATATGTTGGCTAGATCGACTACTGGCATTGTATTCATGGTTGTATCTATGAACTTGTAAACTCTGAATCTAGGAACTTGTAAACTCTGAATCTTTATTTGAATGAATGAGCCGACCTTGATTTACCAAAAAAAAAAATACTCACTAGCTGCTTGATCTGAATGTTCAAGTGGGTTGATAGTGATGGTGACCATGAGTCCATGACCGTGTCTTGGCTGCCACACGTGACACGACAGTATCGCTCTCGTAGTCGTAGGCGTACGCGTATACCAACTTGGTTACAGGATACTGCTTCAACTTTGGCTGCCTCTGCCAAATAACTCTTCACATGCCAAATTGCCTATCACCCAACCATGTACGTATGATGAACTACTAACTTTTCCTCTCTTTTTTCAATAATAACTTCTAACTGACCAAACGATTGATATGTCAATAAGCCATGGACTTGTTATTCTGGTTTCTGAAGATAAACATGGACCAGCTTTCAAGGCCTCTTTGGATCGCAGGTGCCAGATGGTTTCATCTGAAAACGAAAGGTAATCAAATGAATCAGATCTGGGTGGGCCTGTTAAACTACAGAACAGAACAGATGCTCCTCCTTATCAATTCTGATGATGCGTCGGTGGATGGATCAGTGAAAGTCAGCTTCACAGAATAACAGTGCCTGACTACTTGTATAATCCGGTGCTCCGTCTTCATAACACAGCCTGAATCGGTGAATTGTCAATACGCGCTGTGCCGGTATTCAACAGAAAGACAAGTCAGGTGCTCATGACAAAGGAAAATTCATTGAGGACAAAGTACATTGATCACAGAACCAAATGCCACTTGAACATTTTCAAAGTCAGATATAGTAAATGCAGCAATACGTACAGTATGTTTGTGATTTGATTCACAATCGGTATGGAAATATTCATGTTTGAAAGTAACTTACACATGACCATGAATTTGTAGTTGTGAAATGTGAAGAAGTCTTACCCTCACAATATTGAAGATCATGGGCAGGACTTGGAGACTTGAAATGCATGGCATTACTTCATTTACATGGTAGGGCGAACTAGAATATTTGGTTCACATAATCACATTACAGAAGATGCACAAAAATGTGAACAGGTAAAATCACCTTGAAAAGAAACTTTAGTTGCAATATGACAACAGAAAACCCATAAAATCCCAAATCAATCAGATGTTGCAGATGAGTGAGCAATAGCTCATAGTGTAGCGTACAGTTATCAAAACTGAGATCTTGCATTGTTCGACAATAGGCTCAGAGAAGAGCTGTCTGAACAATAAGATTGATGCTAACTTACATCCAATGGAAACTATGCTGATTAACAATAATAGTACAGACAATCATCATGTCCTTTTCAGTTCCTAAGAAGCTCAATCCTCATCTCAAACTCACAATCCATGACAGGGACACCAAAGAAAACCAAAACCCCGCCAAACAACCGTTAAGTATTTTGGCTGCTGAAGGTCAATTTACCACCATAGACAGGATACAAAGGGAAGGCAATACAATACTCACAATGCTTGTCCTGAAGGCCATTTTGTCACATATGTCCTCCCGCCTTACATGCAAGATACGAAACTGGTGCTGACTTTTTATCAGATATGCCATCCGTAAACTTCAGGAACACATAGTTTAGACCCACCAAGTCACTTACCTAGATCAACAAATGAGGGCTTGAGTCCAAGATTTCCATTGAACTACAGGCCAGGAGTTCAGTACATTCTATCAACATGAGAATAATATGGACAGAAGATTCATTTTTCCAATTGTGCACTAACCACATGTTACAAAGTGCTAAGAGAATAGAGATGGCATCGATCCACGATACAGAAGGACAAATCTTGTTTCATAGTAAGACACATAACTACACATTTCTTTGCAAATGGCATCGACTCGTTTATTATTATTATCTGTTAAGAGGACACAGCAATATGACATAGTAAAACGTAATGAAAAGCACTATAGGATCGATCAAACAGCAACACTCCTTATTCCTACCTCAAGGAAACACCGATGGTTAACTTGAGCCCACCTCTTCTGTGACAGCCACAATGTATCAGTTTCTAGGTAATAATGCAACCCCAATCTCCCAAGAACCAAACCATATGGTAGCCAATTCTATGGCTGCTGCTTGGGATCACGGTACCCGGCATCGACGAGGACCTTCTCCTTCTTGGCAAGCTCAATGTCGTTATCAACCATCATCTCGACGAGCTGCTGGAACCCGACCTTGGGCTTCCACCCAAGCTCCTTCCTGGCCTTGGTTGCATCCCCCTGGAGGCTGTCCACCTCGGCGGGGCGGAAGTACTTCTTGTCAATGACTACATGATCCTTCCAGTTGAGCCCTGCATAGCCGAAGGCGGCCTGGAGGAACTCCTCGACGGTGTGGGACTCCTCGGTGGCGACGACGTAGTCGCCGGGCTTGTCCTGCTGCAGCATGCGCCACATTGCCTCGACGTAGTCCCCGGCGAATCCCCAGTCCCTGGCGGCGGAGAGGTTGCCGAGGAAGACCTTGGTCTGGAGCCCGACCTTGATTCGGCCGACGGCGCGGGTGATCTTGCGGGTGACGAAGTTCTCGCCGCGGCGTGGGGATTCGTGGTTGAAGAGCACGCCGTTGCAGGCGAAGAGGCCGTAGGCCTCGCGGTAGTTGACGGTGTACCAGTGGGCGGCGACCTTGGCGGCGGCGTAGGGGGAGCGCGGGTGGAAGGGGGAGGACTCGCTCTGCGGCGGCGGCGTGGAGCCGAACATCTCGGAGGACCCCGCCTGGTAGTAGCGGATGCGCTTGCTGGCGAGGCGCACGGCCTCGAGGAGGCGGAGCGCGCCGGTGGCGGTGACGTCGGCGGTGTAGTCGGGGACCTCGAAGGAGACGGCGACGTGGGACTGGGCGGCGAGGTTGTAGACCTCGTCGGGGAGGATGTGGTCGAGCGCGCGGCGGAGGGAGGAGGAGTCGGAGAGGTCAGCGTAGTGGAGGCGCATCGGGGGGCGCGGCGTCGACGGCTGGGAGTGCGGGTCGTGGTAGATATGGTCGAGGCGCTGGGTGTTGAAGTTGGAGGAGCGGCGGATGAGGCCGTGCACCTCGTAGCCCTTGCCGAGGAGCAGCTCCGTCAGGTAGCTCCCGTCCTGCCCCGTGATGCCCGTCACCAGGGCCACCTTCCGCGGCGGCGCGAGGGAGGGCGGAACCGACGGCGGCGCGGCCTCGCCGTTGTCGCCGGCGGCGCCGCCGTTGGAGTGCTGCGTCGTGGCCATTTCAACCTGCTTAGATCTGGTGGGTGGGGGACGAGGCGAGGCGAGGCGAGGAGGAAATTTGAGGGGAAGAGTGGGCAACGAGGGCAGGGAGTATTTGTAGGGCCCGCCTGCAGTGGGACCCTCTACCTGTGATGTGATGAGCGAAGTGACGAAGACGCAAAGTGCAACTCAACACGATTTTTGTAGTCTTCTAGGGGGTGTTTGGAGAGAGGACTTATGTTTTGGAGAGTTTATGTTTTTGAGAGTTTAGCCTCTCTCTCCCAAACACCCCCTTACTTACACAAACATATATTTTTAAGAGATGTGTGAATATTATGCTCACTTTATCATGTAAAAAAATAACTTAGTGCTGGATATAACACATTATATTACTATGAATTTAGACATATTTCTGTCAAGATTCGTTGTACTATAATATATCACATCTAATTATAAATTCTCGTCTTTTTAGAGAGTATGGTCGAGTTGAATTTCATGTCGTGCTAGCCATGACCAGGCAACGGGCACTATGACTTTGTGAGTCTGATTTTTGAGAAATCAGGAAAAAAAACTCAAAATTCTTGCAAACAATAGCAATGTTTTTTTTTCTAATTACATGGATAACGCACGACAACACTAACACTAAGTACCCACACACCGGCAAGTCCCAAAGAAACGCTTAAATGGATTAACGGACAAAAGCCTCGTGGAGATCAACATTTAAACCGTGCGAAGTTTCCCTAAAAAAAAACGTGCGAAGTAAAGATATGCACTCGTGATCCACTTCTTGGGTATATGATTATTACGATAGAAACAAAATAGGTAAATCATCAATTTTAACTTTACAGGCAAATTATGAAAGAATGTGATTAAAAGACGTACACCCTCCATTCTAAAATGAATCATATCCATATCATATAGCCCCATCAATTTTGGCATATCGGAGGAAAAAGTGAAACGACATATTTGTAAATGAAAAATAATTTGTGAATAAAACTTTTATATACGTGTTCTGAACGATCTAAAAGCAAATGTTGAAAAATAAACTACGATGAAAAAAACCCCAAAATCAACTCTAAATTTAAGATTGAAAATTCAAACTTTAGCTGATAAGCGTGAGTGAAAAGATGAGGCTAATAATATCCATATTATTGCTAGGATGCCTCAAACGGAACATATCCTATATAGATTAAACCGGGATTTGTTTTTTTTTCATATGATTAATTTTCTGAAGGAAAGGGATGTAATTTGGGCTTGGGCTGACCAAATTGATAGCAGGCCAGATCAAATCATCCAGTCAATTCTTGTATTAACTCTAGGCGATATCAGTATCACAAAAAGGTTGATAGCATGCGTAGCATAGTGCAAAGACATTTAGGTTGTTAATCCGTAGTACTAATTACTAAGCTTCAAAATCCACGAGGCGTCCTTTGCCTGCTTAATCCTTCCCTTTCGTGATCGCAACTCGCAAGCAACAGGTGCAAGCTGCCAAGCACACCGCCACGGTTTGTTTATGTTTAGTCATCCGCGCGGATCTCCAGGCACTAGGCAGCATCGACATGAGCCACACGAATCGTAGTGGAAATCCACGATCTCGCTGCGAAGCGACAGGGTGCCCTGATTTTGACCAACGACTACTTTGAGAGCTTAGGTCTTCGCTGAGCTCGTGTTCACCATCCCCATGCATTGACCTAGGACAAATTGATACTTTTCTACTCGCAACTATTCCAATGCGTGTATGGATCCTGCTGAGTTTACTTTTTCACTCTAAAAATTAATATTAGCAATTACTCCATTCGTCCTAAAATATAAGGAATTTTAAGAAATGTGACACGTCCTAGCACTAAGAATATTATGGGACTGATGTTAGTGGAAGCCTTGTCTAACGAAACAAGATATCTTGTATGTTTAGTTCACGCCAAAATTGAAAGTTTAGTTGAAATTAGAACGATGTGATGGAAAAGTTGGAAGTTTGTGTGTGTAGAAAAGTTTTGATGTGATGGAAAAGTTGAAAATTTGAAGAAAAAGTTTAGAACTAAACCAGGCATTTATAGACGAAGGCTGTGTTTAGTTCCACACCAAAATTAGAAGTTTGAAGAAAAAGGTTGGAAGTTTATGTGTGTAGGAAAGTTTTGATATGATGGAAAAGTTAGAAGTTCGAAGAAAAAGTTGGGAACTAAACAAGCACGAAGAGAGTAACATAGTAGTAGCAATTACTCCTTCTGTTCAGTATTGGTCAAAGTCTTGTACCAGTGAAACAAAATACATCTTGTATTTGTGGATGCAGGGAGTAACATAGTTAAAAAAATATGTACACCTAACTAGTAAATTATTACTGGGTTGGTTTAAACCTCATATGATAGTAGTAATACAGTTAAATGAAGGGAGAGTACAGGGATTACCTCAAAAAAATAGAGGAGGAACTCATAGATTGAGAGTGATTCCTGAAAACCAGGACAACCAGTGACCCTGCCGACTTTCTTCAGTTTGGGGGAAAGGACTCAACGCCAGTTACAGAAACCAAAGCAAAACTGATTCACCTTTGAGTACGATGCCATTTTACAGCACGATCCTGCAAAACAAGTGTCGGTGCCCATCGAATGGTGGTAACTCTCCTTCAGCTCATAAAGCTTTAACAAGTTACAATGACACCTAGTTCAAGAATAGCACGTTATTCTAATCATGACGACCCTGTATAACTTCGGTTCTCGGAAAAAAAAATGATGAAAAGAAAGCAACAATGATATATCTTTCAAACACTTCTGGTATTTCCGCTATGTATGGTATGAATGCAACATATATCTCATATTTGACTTGAAATCTTGGGCAGCATCTAAATCACGTCAAAATAATTTTGAGTCTTATTTTGCAACATGGGAATTGAAGTGCGTCACAAGAACATTGTTCATGTGATCTACGTAAAGCCAGCTTGCGTACCTTAGCTATCTCTTCTTCATCAGAAACAGTAGCACAAACATACTCGGCATGTATGCGCCCTCGCTAATGCAAGTTCCACGCTGCATCAAAAGATGCTTCCTGTGTCTGCAGATGACCAAAAAAGTTCAAAGCATGATTAATGCATCACTAAGCGCACCATACATGTAAAGAAAAAAAAATAATGGCTTCAATTGCCACTAGTCCTTGCGGTATTAACAGTAACCTAGTATTCCCTTCTAGTTGCATTATTATTGTAGTAGTGCACAGGCCTGACTGAGCTCACCATTTTAAGAACACATTTCATCACTGCATTACCAGTAGAATAATGAGCAGGCTAGATCTGATTAGTGATTACCATCTCTCGTCTGTAAACGAGACAATGAACAATTGAGCATCTCAATGTGCAAGGACAACGACTGTTGTGTGCTTCCAATTCTGAAGGGACAAGGAGTATCTCTCAGTTGACTGCTCGTGATGAATCTCCATAATCATTCAATGTGGAAGACTTGAACTCCTTTTTCTCTTAAAGATTCTGTCATTCCTATGTACCTTCATTTTGGTACAAGAACCAGTTCAGCTGCCTCTACCGAAATTATTATCTTTGTATCCTTCAGATCTGAGCATAAGCTTTATGTAATTCTAGGAATCTTCTTGTGTAGATTCAACTTCTCTTCTTCCTTAGATAAGACATTTGCACCGTGGTAGGGCAGCTGCCTGTATTAGTTTTCCCAGTTTGTTAATCTTGGTGAAAGCAAAAAACCATTGGAACCACTTACCTGGTGCTAAAGTTGTCTTGCCAATCCAGTTTCTAGAACCAGTTATTTCCTAACTTCTCCAAGCATTAGATAAGTAACCAGCCTTTTGTTATGCAGAAGATGCTCCATCAGTAGCACGCTTTGCTTAGTTACTGTCAATTTTGGAAATGTTCAAAGTCAAATCAATTGTGACCCAGAGCTTGCTGATCCTCACTGACTATTTGAGCATTACTCCAGCAACGGTATATCAGGACTTCAACCGGCTGTTTCTTCTGTACTCTGGAGAATCTGTTGGTTCCTAAAAGCCCTTGTATGATTACGCTGCTAGATTTGTTTCCGAGAATAAACAAAAGTAGGATATTCCACGGGTCTTCCAGTGAGAACGTAGTAGGGTGACCTCAACTGAAAGGGAATTCTGATATTCATGTCCACAGTCTTTTGGGTTTAGTGTATGGTACACAGCTCTTGGTGGACAAGCATTCAGAATCATGGCACTATGTCTGTCAACTGACAAAGTAATAACAATGGACGATGCTCTGCTAACAAGGAAAATAGGGTATCCACCAGAGCCTCTTCCATCTTTCTTATGGTTGATTTGCAAGACGGCAGGTGTATCTATATCTGAGTAGAATTTTGCATAACAGATGGAAAGGATATCAGGGATGTTTAATTAAGTTCTGACCTCCAACTTCTCTAGATGAATGGCCACATAGAAATAGCGCGAAAGTATCAGTTGGCTCTTTCATGGTTTGATTTGCACCTTTGCAGTTCCTCTTGATAAAATAATGAGATGGCAGCAGTACATCTCTAACCATCACCAAGATGATTTTGTTTAGACTATCACATTCTTTCTGAGGTTGTTTACTCCTCAGTGCTCTCTCTGAAATGTTGAGAACAAATAACAAATACAGAATAGAAGGCCCACTGTTCAAACATTGCATGCAACCATTTTGTAGTTGGATTTGCCTTCTTTTCAGTTTCCTGAGAACGCTTTCTTCCACCTGAAACAATAAATATATGAAAATTCAAAATTAAGGAGCACATAAAGCATGAACTCTGTGGCATGTTAAGGTGAACAACAATATAAAATGGCTAAAAGAGGCACTTAACCTTAATTGTTTGACTCAATAAGCCCAGGTTAATATGAAATAATTATTTCAGATTGTTCATACACCGGGGAATATATGCTGCTGATAAAGAAGCCTGGAAAAGCTGAAAATTAAGACTGATGAAGTAATTTTGATAAAAATGTGTATGCTGAAATGAACATCTAGCAGAATGGGAGAAGGCCAGAACAGCTAATACCATCAAAAATGTGAATGACAGAAGAAGCTGGGAAACTTCTGAAATCAGTAGCCCGAATAAAGAAAAATCCCTCTTGCAATGTAGAAGGAAAATACAGAAGGTCATATAAACACTAATCCGATACCGAATTACAAACCCAGTTGAGTTATATGTGTATAGAGTAGGCACCTCATCTTCTCTAGCAGCTGTTTCTTCAGCTGATTGTTTTGCCAGATGAGCCACTACCAGCTCTTACAATTTCACAATGGCAAGTACGTAGTTCGAAGTTCGTAAATCAGAAAATGTGCCTTTATCAATACACAGTACAGAACTAAAGGTACTGCTGTATGGCATAATTTACTGAAAGGTATACAACCATTCCCAAACAAAACAGAAAATGAGAACTGAAATTCAGCAAGGTAAGCAGACATATAACAGGTGCTAGTCAGCATACGACAAGGATGAACTTAAGTTAAAGCATCTTTCACCAACGGTCGAAGACCATGGTCTAGTGAACAGAAAAAGGGGAAATCTTCCTTCAGAACTCTGCGCCAAAATAGCTTCAGCTTTGACCGGCGATGTAAAAAAGGATATGATCTGCTTCTAATTGGCAACAGACAAGCTCTCCTAGTGTTGAGGAACTTTGGAACACTTTGCAAAGCAGAGAGTTCTCATCTTTGTAGGACTAAAATCTAAGATAGCTGCACAAAATAATTACAGCAATTAGAACATTTCTAGTAACAATTGTACACATGAGCTAAACTCAGAGAGAACAAAATGGAAACCTCATCATGCACAACTCTTAATGGAATCCATTTGCGTGCTTATTGAATCATGCTTGTGCAACTAACCACCATTACAACTAGTGAAAATATCTCATGCAGTCAGATAAAAAAAATATTATGTGGATCTGAGAAACTCTGCCATGCATATCTTCTAACGCGAAACATGTGCTTAAGGAAAAGGATAAATGAGCATGATCACAGAGGATATATCTGTCCCAAACATTGTCTATGCAGTGCTAGAAGCACTTGTTACTTGTTTGATCAATTAAAATGTAATGCCAGGAGTAAGCAAAAAAAAAAAAATCGAAGCCAGGGCTTTGATCTTACTTGGAATAACAAGAAGAAAGTTTAATCAACATTTGACCAAATCACCACTTAATCAGAACAAGATTTTTCTAAGCAAATTGATTGGATTTTGCAACTTCAGACAATCAAGTTAAATTGCTTATGTTCAACTTGCTAATAGCTGTTGATAGCGTAATTCTTCTTCCATGACTTTGAGTAGTACACAGTAGTTTGCCTTACTTTATGCATTAGAATAGTGTGCCTTTGCAGTCCACATTTTAAACGACAGAATAATATTGCAAATCCATGATATTTCAATTTGTAGAGTGCACACCTGCTGCATTCGGGGGTTGGATGAATCATGGGCAAGTAAGAAGGCACATCAGGTTATTTTACATATATGATGTCCTCCTCATCTGGCTCATCTGCATCCCAGTCACCTTCTTCTTCTTCTGATAGATTTGCACCTTCTCCATCTTCCTCTTCTTCATTTCCTTCTTGTTGCTCCCTTTCCTCCTTTAATTTGTCCAGTATAGCAAGAATCTATATATATGGCAACAATTAGACTATAGTTTCCCAATATATTTGAGAGATATGAAAAAAAAAACGCTTAGTGCAATACTGCAATAATTCATTGTGTGCTAATGCAACCCCTGCAAACATTGGATTGTTAAGTTATAGGTTCTGTGATGTTAAAGCTTAAAAAAATGTCTGTATTTGGGGCTGATTGCCTCGCAAAGACCCTACAGGAAGAAGCTTACGTCTGGTGTGGTATCAATGAAGCGTAACCTATGATCTTATCCAAATAAAGCATATGGGTACTTGTAGCTATAATTTTCAGGTAAACCGAATTGCAAACAGCCAAACACAATTTTAAGTTTAAACAGAGATGCAAAATACTAACACAACTTGTAAGGTAACAAAAACAATGACCATGCTTCTTTTGAACTATTTGGATCTTGATATTTGATAACTATCCGAGGAGCAGTACTGGACAATCACATAGTATAGATACGTTCAAGGATGCATGTACTAAATGAAGATAAACCAGTGAAAGCAGATATTCATTGGAACAGGTAGATAGATGAGTTTAGAGTGTGTACCCTGCTTCCCCGCTCCATGGACTCATCCTCGATGAACCGTATCTCAGGCGTGAGGCGCAGCTTCATCCGCTTGCCTATTTGGCTCCTGACGTACTTAGTCTTAGCCTTGAGCCCAGCAATGGCCACCTTCTTCCCCCTCTCGTCCCCAAACACGGAGACATACACCTTGCACACCTACGAACAAACAGTGAAGTTCAGCATAGCTCGCACAAATTTACAATCTCTCTATGACTCGCTAAGCGAGGGGAAGCGTCGTTGGAGAATTAACGCAGGAGGCAGTGACCTGGAGGTCGTTGGAGAGCTCGACGTCGGCGATGGTGGTGAGGGAGGAGAGGTACTGGTCGGCGCCGAGCGCGGCCTCGGGGAGGACGGCGCGCTGGAGGACGGGGTCGCGGGTGAGCATGTCCGCGAGCTCCCGCTGGATCTGCTTCGCCACCATCCGCACCCGCCGCTCCTTCGCCATGCACCGCACCACGCGCAGCGACGACGCCGACGAGGGAGGCGGCCGCGCGGGCGCCAGAGGGGACGCGACGGCGAGGCGCCGCGGCAGCGGAGGGGACACCAGCGGCCGGCAGGTGAACATCGCCGATCACCTCGACGCGAGTGTAGCGGTGGCGGTGGTGGCGGTGGTGGTTTTCCGGCGGCTTCGCGGTGAGGCCGTGGAAGACGATGAGTCGGGGAAGTGGGAGGGGATAGTGTCGTCGTGTCGAATCGAACAATATCTCGCGTCTTTTTTTAGTTTTGTTTTATTTGAAAGCATTTTAGACGATTTTAAGAAGAGTTTAGTGCAATCCATTTTATACAGTTCTGGTTGTAAAAGAAAACTCCAGCAAAATCATCTTGCCCATTCAGGCCAAAATTCTACAAATTTCTCTCTGTAAATTTCATCGTGCCCTGGAAAGGCACTAAAAGGATAATACGATTTTGAAGACTATTATCTGATGTAGATGGAGTCATAGAAATAAGAAATCTAATAAAAATGTCAAATACTCCCTCCATTCCAAAATATAAAGGCATAACCACCTCTAACCCAAAGACAAAAAAATAATTATTATTATCATCTCGTAGTTTTATTATCCTAATAAATACAATGCATGTATCAAATAGAATTAGAGAACATGAGAGTAAAGGATTTTAAAAAGTAATAATTTAATAGAGAAATGGTCATAGTTAAGGGCTTACATGCATGCATGCCTTATATTATAAAATACTCCTTCCGTTTCAAAATGTTTGACACCGTTGATTTTTTAGCACATGTTTGACCGTTTGTCTTATTCCAAAAAAAATTGTGAAATATGTAAAACTATATGTGTATATGAAAGTATATTTAACAATGAATCAAATGATATGAAAAGAATAAATAATTACTTAAATTTTTTGAATAAGACGAATGGTCAAACACGTACTAAAAAGTCAACGGTGTCAAGTATTTTGAAACGAAGGGAGTATAAGAAAAGTAGTTGTGCCTTATATTATGGAATGGAGGGAGTATTTTGTAGGATTGATTCCATAGTCAAACCAAGCAACATACAGCCCATGGGCACCGTGCCCACATCTTGGAAAGGAAAGCCCATCTAGGTAACCAGGCCTATAAACCCGGCCCACTATATCATCAAATGCCACGTTGCCCTAGACGCTTAAACCCTCACCTCCCAAACGAACACACACCTCAACCTCCCCCGAGACGACGGCGGCGACGGCGACGGCGATGGCGAAGGAGAGGAAGCGGAGGCAGCCCGCCGACGCGCCGCCGCCGGGGGACGACGACGAGGGGAGGGACCACCGGAGGGAGAAGAAGCCGAGGAAGGAGAGGCCCGACCCGGTGCTGCCGTCGCAGATCAAGAACAAGGACAAGCGCAAGGAGGTGCACGCGAAGCTCAAGCGCGAGAAGAAGGCCCAGAAGCGCAAGCTCGCCCGCGAGCGCGGCCAGGCCGCGCAGCGCGCCGTCGAGCTCGGCGAGCAGGCAAGCGCGCGCCTCGATTTCTCCCCTCCGCAGCGAGCTCCCCCTCTCGAATTCCTCCAAGCTTTGTTTCTTAGGTTTTTCTGATGGTTTTCATTTTGGGTGTTCGCAGCCGCCGGAGAAGCTGGTGCCGCGGACGATCGAGAACACCAGGGAACCTGACGAGACCGTGTGCCGGCCCGACGACCAAGAGGTTTGTGCACGTTCTTCTGTGTTTCTTACTTGGATTGATCCTACCAATGCGAGTTTCTCAATTATCGGAGTAATTGTAATTTTAATTTCTAATTGTACATTCGAACCTGTTTGACTAATAGTAGTTTGGAATCAAGGACATTTATCTGACAGGGTCTCCTTAATGTTGCATTAGGTTTGTGGAACATGAGAATTACATTTCTTTGGTAGTTAGGCTAGGTATGCGGTGAGGTTGGGGCAATTTCTGAATTACATTTCTTTGGTAGTTAGGCTAGGTATGAGGTGAGGTTGGGGCAAATTCTTTCTTTACTAGTTATGACCAGGGAAGGCTATCTGGAACGTGGTGCCTTGCCGAGGTTAAGGAATAAGGATGAGATAACGATTATAAGTGGATTTAGCTGCTTGCTTGGGGGAGTTTGCAGAAGTTCATGAGGCTTGTCAGTGAATGAGTGTTGTGCTGATTCCTGTTATTCACTAGCATAGAACACTATACTATACAGATGTCATGCTATCATCATATCATGCTTATAACATGAATCAGTTACCAGTATTTATGATTTTAATTAAGCATGCAACTTCTACAAGACACATCACTGTGTTTTTCTGCCTTCACATGCTTGCTTCGATTGAGTTCCTTGCACTTGTTATACATATTCAGTATGCAACGTCAATGCTTGGTAGTGCTGCACTGGTTGATGCTGCTGCCTTATATTATATAATTTGTGCGTACACATCACGGGTTTTTATATGCTAAGCTGCAAACATTAGATTTTTTTTCTAGACATTTTACTGCTTTACTAAGTACTAAGAAGTAAGATCTAGATGTCCTTTTTGTTTCATATAGCAATGTGCACTCCAAGATATCATTAGCATCTCCTTTAGATTTATTAGTCTATTTAGAATCTTGGTGTATTATATCCTTTTCTGTTACTTTCTCTTAGGATGAACACTCATTCGATCATTGTGATTCAACTTTACATGGTATCAGATATCAAATTATCGTTCTTCTGTGCAGCTGTTTGCAGGGAATGATGCTGATGAATTCAATGCAGTTCTGAAGCAGCAAACAACTCCAAAAGTGTTGATTACCACATGTCGCTTCAATTCAGGCGTATGCATTTTCTATGCTTATCACCTCTGCTTTTGGATTTTTGTTCTTCTCAATATCTTGTGCTGGCTGTTCTGAATTGATAATTATTTGATAACCTCTATTCTTAAGAAGTTGCATCTAACACTTTATGTTTATCTGCACATATGTCTACAGAGGGGACCTGCCTTTATTGAGGAGTTAATGCAAGTGATACCCAATTCGTGTTATGTTAAAAGAGGAACTTATGAACTCAAGAAAGTATGACATGTTCAAAGTAGCTAACCTGTTCATTTGTTTGAATTAGACACTTCATATGGACTGAAACACATTTCTTTTTAGATTGTGGAATATGCAAATAACAGAGATTTCACTTCACTTGTTGTTGTCCACACAAACCGAAGGGAACCTGGTAAGAATCCATCAATTTATTAGTTCAAAATTTGCACTTGTTATCTGTTATGACATATTTATTGTTATTTGTGTCACAGATGCTCTACTGATCATCAATTTACCTGCTGGTCCTACTGCACATTTTAAACTATCTAAACTTATTCTGCGGAAGGACATAAAGGTACTTTATCTGTATTTTCTTTATCATACTAGCAAAATGCCTTTGCTATGGGTAAAATGCACATGCTTATTTGAATATATGTTATTCACTTGATTCAAATGAATATTAGACTATTATATAATACAAGAAAATATCAAGGACTATTTTGTAAGTTGTGCAAATGTAGTTGTGGGTTGGTGAACCACCACCACCGCTATTGTCTTTTACAGTAGTATAGATTATCACCTACTAACTAATGTTATATTGTTTTCTTAAATAATATCTACTGAAACTACAACTCTTAGATGAGTTATTCAAAATTTTGTTGGAAATGGTAACCTGTATTTATTTATTTTTATTTTTGTTTTTGGGAGAACTTGTTGAATAGCTTTGGTGTTGTCTACATATCTTTGTGCTAACTTAGCATATATTTTCACCATACCAAAGGGATAGGACAGCAACACTGTTATCCATCTTCTATGTGTTCTGATAATCTTTGTATTTGCATTGTGAAGAACAAATAGTAACAGCTACTTCAGACAAGCACAAATTAGTGCTATTTTTGAAGAATCATATGCATACTATCTTCTGCTACTGCAAATCTCCTGTATTAGTTAGTTTATAATAACTGTTTGATCTGTTTGTGTTTTTAATTGTGATCTGATCACGATATCCTTTGTTCTTAGTTTTTTGCACACATGTAAGAGTGAGAAAATCCCACGGCTGTCTAGATCTTAGCAAATTGACAACAATATGCTAGTTGGGAACTGTGATTATGTCCTCTCCAGAAAAAAAAAAGTTAACTGTGATTATGTGTTATGATGACTGAGAGCCAACACACATGGCTATTTTCTGAATTCTTTAGATCTAATGCTGATCTTTACCCTATTAAACATTTAAACCTCTATACACAAAAGGAAGAATATAAAATTATATGAGTATATTTAAAGTCAGATAGTAAATGTGCCATTGTTTTATTTTCAGAAATCTTAAACACAATCTTGTTTTTACCGAATGCTATCAGGAATTCATTAGGGACATACTGGTTGTGGTTTGGTATATTGTTATCTGCAGGAAAAGAGCCTTGCTTGTGCATAACAACTCCTTTTGAGGGTCTTATATTATTGTTAGTAATTAGTGCGGTGGCCTATTGGCTAATATAAACACATAGTGTAGTTCAGAAGATAAAACAAACTTTGATGATCACGTTCATCACAATGATGAATATGAAAATGTCAACTAATTCGTAACGTTGTTTAGATAGTTATGGTAATAACAATGATTATATCATAGCTGCATATCTGTTATTACACCGCTAACCTCTTTAGACTAAAGGTGCACTGGAAGTGAACAAAGCCCAAGTTGACATCAATTGGTCATCCTACTTGTCTCTAGTTTGTCTCTAGGATGACTTAGTCATCTGAGCTTTGCCCTCAAAATCAAATGTGCATGTGACTATGTTCGGTATCATATGACATGTCTGCTAGATGCTGATCCATGTCTCTATCCAACATAGCATGTTTTAGTTTTAGTTTTTCCAGTCTTTCAATGATTGTATAAATTATTGCAATTGCAATGGAGTTGGGTTGATAACCATGTTGCTGATGGTCATCTAGATTGATGGAAAGCAGAAAAAAAATAGCTGGAAGGAACGTCTTTATTCTGCTGCACCTGGACTTTGACTAATTTTAGTAGCGTTTCATATCCAGATTTATTCAGTTTATTTGATATGTTCTTGTTAAATGACAAAAGGTTCTCAGCTTATTTTCCAATATTATATAAATCTGTTTTTGAATTTTAGCTTTGCGAACCAGTTAATATTCATGGCTTTGTTTACCTTTTTGGTTGCAGAACCACGGCAACCCCACAAGTCATAAGCCAGAGTTAGTGTTGAACAATTTCACTACGCGCCTTGGTCATCGTGTTGGAAGGTGATTTGTGAACATGAACCCTTGTGCTCCTTTGCTGATCCTGTTTAGAAGAACTCTGTTTTCTTTTACATTAGCATGTTCATGTCTGCTGTTTGCTTCACTTGTCAATTTTCCCCTTCTGCCTTTTCAGGATGATACAATCTCTTTTCCCTCAAGAACCCAATTTCCGTGGTCGGCGAGTTGTGACCTTCCATAATCAGAGAGACTATATTTTTTTCCGTCATCACAGGTGCATTTATGAAAATTCAAGTAGGAAAAACCATGTTATTAAAGGACTCCTGTGTGTCTACGTAATTGTCTTTTGCTGGGATTTGTTGCATAATGTGGATCATTACAAGTGTTTTTAGTAATTACTTCCTGGACATTTCTTTAGCTCATAATTTTGTTGATCTGTGAAGTGTGTTATCAAAACCATGCTATCCTCCTTGCTAGTCTTGACATGTGCTTTTGATTATGTTTGTGGCTTCCATTTTACTGTGAGTATTCAAACTTATTTTCTTATGCAATACTAATGCTAGGTACATCTTTGAGATGAAAGAAAACAAAATTGCTTCAAAGGACAAGAAAGCTAAGACTTCTGAAAGCAAAAGCCAACCTGAGAAGCAAGTAATTTGTCGCCTCCAGGTATTTGAGCTACTTATTCAGTACTCACTACAAGTTCTGTAGGTGATGGCACATATTTCATTCAGTTCACAATCTGTTATTGGTCATCACCATCTGGCAACCCCAACCAAAGTGCTTTCTATGTTGCGTGTTTGAAGGGTGTTTCTGGTTTTCCGAGATATGCTCTCGCTTTCAACATCAAATGCTTACTGTCTTGCCAGTTAGACAAACACAATGATATCATTACTTAGGCCTAATGCTATTTATAATTGTTACCATGTTATTATTAGCCCTAGCAGTAAACCTAAGCTGTTCTGATGAACTAGGAATGTGGTCCTCGCTTCACCCTCAAGCTGCTCACCTTACAACATGGGACCTTTGACACAAAAAATGGGGAGTATGAATGGGTTCACAAGGTACTATTATTCATTTACCGTCCCATGCCCACACTACACTCTACATGAAAGTTTTCTGACATGCTGCAAATCTTGCATCATTGCATCATTTACAGCCGGACATGGACACGAGCAGAAGAAGATTTTTCTTGTAATTTAGCATGGGATCCTCATGCCACACCAGATGAAATATTAGTGTTGTTCGGAAATTACTGCATATTCGTTTTGTGCACTTAGAATCGTATCACAAATGTAACAGACCTCTATGCACATTTGAAGCAATTTTGATGATCTATCAAATGAGTTGAGCTATACGAATCTTGGCCTCTTTACTATATGGTTGTTGTTCCCGTATCCAGTATCTTGCACAAAAGCTGCCCTTTGTTTTGTTCCAGCCCTAATATGTCTTGCTATCCACAAGATGTATCATCAAATCTGCTGCCATACAAAGGTCGTTATCATCCAACTGCCATGGGATTACACCTCATTGTTCCTGCCCTTCTCTCCATCCAAGAACTTATCATTGCTGGCCCCATGTTCTTCAAGGCTGCTATAGCCACCAGCGGCGCCATGACAGCCCCAGGATCATCGTATCCCCGAGGTATACCTCTTCTCGGCCTGTTACCTACTCTGGTTATAAATATTTGATGTTTAGGTTAGATAACACTTATTTTAAAAGTGAAATATTTATACCTGATTAGCCTATATAGTACTCTAACTTACAAGTAGTAATGAGATACTGGTTGGCCATTGCCCATCAAGGCCGCTGATCTTTTAACCCTTTTTATTACTGCAAAGTACTAGATGCCACTCATTTAACCCTTTTTATTACTGCAAAGTACTAGTGGATGAGCTGATGGTATACCCTATACCTCTTTCTCTATCTTTAAGACTGTAATTACAACTTGTGATATCTGTGGCCATTGCCCATTGCTAGCGCTGTTAAACTTTTGACAAATTTCATGCTGTTACTACTGCTAGGTAGTGGCTGAGCTCTGATGAGCAGGCTGGCTGGCAGATAGCTGCCTGCTGCTGGGTACTGCTGCTACACATGGCCTGGGGGTCCCATCCTATCCAAGTAAGGCCATATGTTTCTGCGCGTACGTCCGTGCAGGCCAGGGCGTACGACACAGAGGTGCGTTCTCTCTCTCTCCTTCTCTTGGTCGTCTTCTCTTTTAGATGAGATGAGAGGATCGCATTGCACCGCTAGCTTGAAAGAGAGGCTCCTCTCCATAGAGTAATTGCCATCTGAAATTGCTGCTAGGTGGGTTGGTCACGAGTGCAGCAGTGCAGCGGCACATGGCTTGCTCCCTCCCCTGGCCCTGCCATGTTATCTGCTCCAGTTTGGTCCAATGGGTGAGTGAAGTTATACTGCCACTTCATCTCTGTTTCTGCAGCATCTGCATGCTAGCTACTAGGTAAATGTTTGTTCATCCCTCTTCTTGAACACTGTCAGTTAGCTGCATATACATGCTCAGTTGCTGGCCCTGGCCATGGTAGATCTCGAGTTACAGCTAAAAATCACCCCTTTTATCTTCAGTTTTGAACTGAGTTCCAGGTCACTAGAAGTCTTAACCATGCAGTCAAATTTGGGTGAGCAGCTTTTATGCAGCCATTTGGGTATTAAAGTGGATACTGGAATATTAGTATCGCGCACAAAAGCTAAGCCTGGACATAATTTGGGTGAGCAGCCATTGCGTACATGCACCTACGTGCAACTAGGCGTTAATTACTCTCGTTTTTAGATGGGAAATACGTTAATTTATGGCGTGTTACTGCATGATAGCGAAGATGATCACTCTGAATAATCTGCACTGTACGTGGCAAGTGTGCATGCATGGGTTGTGGTGCAGACTATTTACATGAGTGGATCAGATCTGTGCACTGTTGGATCTTCCGTGTTCGATCTGTGTGTGTTCTCATGCAACTCAAAACTATTATGGTCCGAGCTGAGCGAAAGCAACTGCCGAGTAACAACTAAGCTACCTGCATGTAGCTATATATACTTCTGTAGTCTGTACCGTACCACGTACGCACGTACAACTACGATAATATCTCTCGGAGGGCGTATCAGCGCATAGCCAATATGAGGTGCTAATTAATATCCGTGCTTGTATACTTCCTCTGCCTCGTTAATTTGTCCAGTTTCATCGCTCGAAATAAATTTGCGTATAGTTACACCAGAAATCTAAGGTATATACTCCTCATTTCTAAAATGTAGGGCCAGTTCGGTTTGGTTCCAAATTGTGCCCTATCAATTCATTGGTAATTTTCAATAGTGTTTCTAGTTGTTTGGATTGGTGCCAAATTTTAACAATACATCTCTTTAGATAAAAAAGTTTTGGCCGTCTAAATTTGGTAGTGCCAAAAATTGCTTAAACTTTGGCACTACCAAAATTTTGGTATGGCACCAATCCAAACTGACCCGTAATTATTTTTTAAATCTAAAATAGAAATGTAGCTATATTTTAATACGAACAGAGCAATTACTGGCATCAAATTGACGCAGTACGTTAAGTAACATGAGGTCCTTCCGTCCTTTGCTAGTGGCTACAAACTACAAGTTATACAAAAACAACTAGTTATATAAGCTGCCTGTCAGTCAGTGGTGGTCACTACTACAAGCACACGGCGATAGCCAATATGAATGGCCAGAAAATTAGGCTAGCTCTCTGCATTCACATACGTACTGACGTACATATCCCAATCAATACACCACGTTGAGAGGCTTTCGGCCGGCAATTAAGCCCGAAAGATATCTGCAGGCTAATTACTGATCATATACATATCACACAGGGATATTGCACAATCACTGCATGCCAGATGCCACATTATATTGCCACATATACACCCGGGCTAGCTAGATGCTTGCTAGCTAGCTACCTTTTCAACCTCATCGTCATTAACTATTATCACGACTACTCTTTCCATTAATCAAAATGTATACATATCAAGAACACATGCATGGTTGCATTTTGGATATCTCGATCTCTAGCTATATAGCTAGCTAGCTAGCTTCTTAATTAGCCGGCCGGTCATTCATTACCTTAATTTGCATGTACAACGAGACCAAAAAAATAATGAGTAAATGATGATTCAGTTCGTTCGAACTCATCACTCACCAAAAAAAAAAAAAACAGCATACATGCAACGACACCAGCTAAGCTAGCTAGCTATAGCTCCAAATTAATTAAACTTCGCCTTCGTCTTCGTCTACCTCTAGCTAGGGCGCGCGCTAATCTGCGCATGCGCCGCTAGCTAGCTCCGACGATCAAGATGATCAATCGATGAATCTCGATCCGGCCGGTGTGGTTCATATTTACACGGTAGTATTCATTGCTAGATCGAGCTAAGCTAGCTGATCTTGCCGGAGCAATGGAAGAAGGAATTAATATAGCTAGTGTACAGATGCGGCGGCGGCGGGTTCAGCGGGTGCAGGAGTAGTGGAGGGAGGAGGTGAGGGAGCGGAAGGCGACCTCCTCGCAGGGGAGGACGAGGAGGCCGCCGGCGCCGGCGCCGGCGAAGCCGAACTCCTCCTCGGCGCGGCGGAGCAGGGAGCGGAACTCCGGCCGGTCGAGAAGCGCGAGGGGCACCACGAACCGCCGCCGCCGCTCGCCGACGTACACCGCGAAGTGGCCCCTCGGCACGTCGGACGGCAAGCCGGACGCCTCCTCCTCCTCCTCCCACTCGCTGACCTGCTTCTGCTCCTGCTGCCGCCGCCCCAGGCTCGAGCACCGCTTCAGTATCTGCTTCAGCCCCGCCGCGCCGCCCTTCTTGATCGCCATTGCCGCCGGTGAGCTCAAGCTTGCTGTAGTTGGTGGTTGGTGATGGTGGTGACGAGGAGGCGGCCATGGCGAGGGGGTATATATAGGGAGAGGTGGGCGAGGTCGTGAGGTCTCGCCGTGGTTGGTGCTGGTGGTGGATGGGCCCGCGGCGCCCGTGGGCTTGCCGGGCCTGGGCCTGGTACAGGGTGTGGGACCCACATCGCAGGTCCCTGTGTTTTTCACCTTAGACCTAGTAATTAGTTGCTAGTTGCTACTACCTCCCTCCCAAACTAATTACATTTTGAGAGAATTAAAGATAGATTAGCAACAAACACAATTTAACACAATAACCCAATTTAATGACCACACATTACCTACATAAACTTGATTAAAAGGAAGGTCGAGACAATAAGCCCACTTAATTACCATTCTTAAACTTGATTAAAAGGAATATTTGGATCCTTTGTCAGCAGAAATTTTTTTGGGATAAAATTTAAATGATAGAAATGTAATTATTTAAGACGGAGATAATACTAGATAGTAATGGTAGAGTTGCAATGGTTGTGATTAGTGAATCTGATCTGATAATGGTAGTCCATAATGTGGTACCTTGGGGAGCTCCTTGTTTTTTCATTTTTCCTTTTTATACAGGAGTTTTTGTTGAGTGCTAGTACGGGCCCATTCTTTGAAGATGAAAATTGATGGATGATCGCCTTAATTACAGGGATGGATTAAATACTATATATTATAAATCTAATAAATAACTTAGAACAATTTATTTAAGCAATTCTGATTTATGAAGTTTTCGGACAAATTATAGTTATCAAAGCGTGGCAATGCATATACAATCTATCAGGGTTAATCCAAAAAGAGCGAGGCCTTAGATTTAGAGTTAAATGATGTAATGTCTCATTTTAAATATGTAAGTTCAGAATTTCCCACCTTTTTTTACTTGTATGAAACATGGTGATTTTCTGGCCTTTCGAATTGGACCTGTTTGGAATATGGTAATCTTCCAACCTTCAATTCCGAATAAGTCAATTTTCATATCCACATCAAAATGAAATATTTCCTTCCTACGTTCGAGGCGGGCCTTCATAGAATGTTCTAGAAGAAGGTTGTTCGAAGTTATCCAAGAAGGTTGTTCTAAGTTTTCGAAAGTGAAAAGATAAAAAGGAGGAGAAAAAGTTGTGATGGGGGGCTAGCTAAAATCCTCGATATTTCCCTACTCTTGCAATTTGCATGGTAGAGACAAGGTCAACACACTATAGTTAGCTAGTATATTGTAGGATCTAAGTATCAATCAAGTGGCAGTGAACATAAAAGAGAGAAAAGAGGAGCTCAAGTAGTGGGGAAGCAACTTCAAGGGGTTGACATTTGACAAAATGGCAGTGGAAAAATTCCAAGTCTCACATCAAAGTGAGTGATCAAAACCACCCTTTAATTTCTTCTGCTTTTTCAATGCCCTGCAGCCAGTGTTGTTGCAGACACGTTCAATAATGGTCCATGATCCATATCTTTCAGGTATCTCTGACCACTGTACGTCTGTACCGGCCGTTGCCGCTGCTGCATCCTCTACGCATCACAAAAGATGCCTAGATAGTTTTTTACAACAGTTTCTACTTGCATTTCATCAGGAAAAAAAAAAAGAAGAAGATTCATCTGTGTTTCTGAAAGAGAACTACAACAAGATTTCTCTCCTAGTTCAGGTTAATCAGGTTCAGGAGTCAAGACTTCAGGTAGCAATTTTCAACTATTGATAATATTTGAATAAATTATTTTATTTTATTTTATTTAAAAAAATATAAAACTATTAACCATGTTAATTTAACATATGAAGTATAAATTTCGCATGGATTTGAGATCTCGAGCCGTGTCAAATAGGGAGATGGTAAAGATTACATAGTGAACTCACATCCTCTAGAGCCGAAGTATTGCAAGAACCAATAGTTCACATGTTAATTAACTCAAAATCTAGTGCAGCAATATCCCTCAAACTGATGTAATTAAGTATCCTCCTAGCTAAGTAGCTAGGCTTGGCTACTTCAGAACTAATTAATCTTATCTTTATTCAGTTAACTAATCTTTGAATGATAGTTGATCAATCACAGATAGTATGTATTATCAGCTGGTAGATCTGCAGGGCAAAATATAATCAAGGGCTGCCATGCACTTGCCACTGGCACTAGTGTGGTTGCATCTCATGATAGGTGATGTTGCTATGACATGGCTACTGGGCGTACGGATGGGTGGCCACCCGTTTAAGCTTGGACCATCAAAGATGGGGCACTAACTGGCACACTATGTCAGGATAAAAAGGAAAATAAAATAATCATATAATTCTAGCTATGTACTTACATGGCATGTAGGAGAAAAGAAAAATACTGTCCTTTGAAATCTTCAGAAAGTGTCCTTTGAAGTCTTCAGAAGCCTAGCTAGCTAGCTCGCTTGCACACTTGACCTCATGCTAATCCATGGGTTTAATTAATTTTGGAATTTAAAACCCAGTAAGGAAATTCAGAAACAAAGCCATGCATTCCAAGACAAGAATGCTAGTCGCATTCACACCTTTTAATTAGTTAGTAATAATTAATTAATCAATTAACTGATAAATATCACACTGCCTGCTTGGCTATCAGCATCATGCGATTATTTTGATGTAACATATTGAGATAATTAATCACCAGACAATTCTTTTCAATTTTCTGACTGAATGTCATATTGTCATGCATGGTGTGGTGGTATACAAGCAGGTCAGCACTAATTATCTGCTTTCCTGCTTGTGTTATGTCCCTCTGCTGTTGAACAAGTTTGTATGGGCACTCAACCAACTGGAAACATTATGTTGGCAATCTCATCACAAATCACCATTGTATATTATGCTGAAAATTCTATTATTGTTGGACCGCTATAGTGTCAACTCAGTAATGATCCATTTATCTGAAATCTGATTGGAATAATGAAGTGGCAGGGTCGTTGCTAGATTCTTATCACCTGACATGACATTGGTCGCGGCTAGCTGTGTGTTTCGTATCTAAGACGGCTTTGAAATAGAATTCCACATTGGCCATGTGAGATGCTACAAATTCAGACACTGATTGGAGGAAAGAGAAAAAGATGATCATCCATGCCACTTCTTGATTAAATTATCTTATTCAGAAATCAGAGTTCTGGAATGAATACTGTTGAAGCACATGCATGCATCATCCATTTTAACTTTCCCATCACATATTCAGATTAACCTTTTCTTTATAAAAAAATCACTTTAACATTTTGATTTGATTTAGATTATTGAGCAGATTATCCATTTGATTGTAGAGATAAAACAAACTTAACAAATAGCTTAAAATAAGTGCTCTCAGCAATACAATAGAGGTATTTTCTTTTGAGAAAACATATTTTTTTAAAACATGGAGCTGTTTCAATAATCCAGTGAATAAGTTGAAAAGAAATGGGCGGCAACATGGATGGTAAAATCTAAGCGTGGATCTCCATTTGTCTCTGGTCCCTTCATCAAACATGAATGCAGCCTGATTGCTTGTCTGCATTAGCAAACAAAGGCGAGCGAGCGAGCGTGCGTGTGCAACCACCACACTCACACGTACGCCCGCACGTACGAACGTACGCAGCCTTCAAGGCCTTTGCCCCGAATTATATCATGGCCAAACAGTGCGACGCTTCAGTGATCACCAGCAGGTGCAGTCAATGCAGATACCAAACAAGCAATCAGAAAATTCAGGGTTCAGACAGGCTCACCTAACTGACCAAGCTTTTTAGCCAAACAGAAGGGTTGCATCATGCGTACTTGAACTAATTAATCTTGCAGACTCTCTGGTCGATTTCTGAATTAATTAATTACCAGAAGTTAGCTAGAACACCTGTTCGATCTTTCAGAAATTCAGACTTGAGATGAGAGACAGGAAAGGAAACTGAAGGTTAAGCTGTACAAATCAAACTAGACCGTTCTAACGAACTGTCAGAATTTGAATGTTCGAGGAGTACTACTGATGGCAGTAGGGTCGTCTTCTTGGAGAAAAACGGTAGCTGCTGCTAGCTAGGACAATGACATTCTTGATGGATACATGATCAGATGAAAATCCAAAATCAATTAATCAGATGGTAGTATCATCATGGTAGGAGTACACCAATACACCAAGAATTGAAAGACTCGATCGATCGACATCAATCGATCATGGATCGTTAATCAACGCATCAATCGATCGCCATGCATGTTTATGGAGATGCTCCAAACATGTCAGTGTTCTGCTCCAGTTGAGAAACTCTTAAGCTCCAAATTAAAAAGCGTACTCAAACTCTTGATCTTAGCTAATGGCGATCGAGCCGTGCAAATCTGAGCAACAAACCGATTCCACTGACGACGATGAGTACGTCTGTACGTGTACATTGTGCTGTCGCCGTCGTCAACTGGGACGGCGTACGTGGCCGGCCGGAGAGGTCGCCGGCCGGCCGGCCGGCGACGGCGACGTCTGAGCTTCCACATGGCGAACTGGATCGTCCGGTGGCTCGTCGCCGGCCGATGGATGTTGACGCGAATCATTGGGCCGGGAGACAGCGCCCAAACAGCAAGTTGCAAGTGTTTGTATTGTACCTACGCCCCCCCGTGTGCATGCCATGCACAGCATGCATGCAAAGCACTCCTGCTGCCATATAATCTCCTCAACATTATCTCATTATCCATCGACTTTACTAAACGAAATGAAAGCTTAATACGTTTTCTGAAGATTATGTGAAGATTCTGAGAAACTGTTGGTAAGAATCTAAAAAGGCTGAGTTTATCCAGCTTCGAGCTTCAAGTTATTGTAGTTTATTTTTATATTTTGTAACTACCGAGACATGTAACTTGGAGGAAGGATGTGGACTGTTTAAGGGAAATTAAGATTCTGAGAGTAGCTGTAGCTGCTAGAAGCTCCTCGCATAGAGCCATACACACGTCTCAAATCAAATCAAGGCTTGGTTAATTAATTGGGGAGAAAGCGGAACTGCATTATATTAGGCTTGAGCTAATCATGAGGGTTTTGTCAGCTTCAGCAATTGAAAGTGACTTGTAAAAGGGCAGGTATGATTGAAGCAAAGCAGCAAGGGACATAGGAAATCTTGTGAAGGTTCTTCTGGTCCTTGCAAACCAGCCTGTAAGATTTGGACCATCGATCGATCAATCGATCAGCCATGATCAGTGGTAGATTGTCCCACACCTTGTACCATGTATATATATCCATCATAGATTCATAGGCTGGTGGTTGAACCCCTGTAAAGCAACCCCATTTAATCAATCTCTTACTGTTTGCAATTTAGTAATAGTATAAATGTTGAATAGTGGCAAGAGAGTAATTCCATTTCAGACTTTCAGTGCAGACATTCAGTCAGTACTCTGTCCGGCTATATATATCCAAGGACGATATTAACACCATTTCGTTCCAGTTGTCTGGTTATAAACATACATACAAGTTGGCATACAAGCTAGGAAAGTCGATTTGAGTACACCTTGTTTTCAGTTAAATTTGGAACCACATGATTTTTCGCAAGTACCGTAATTAGAAGAAAATTCAAGCATTATAGTGGAGGTGGATGGTTCTGTAAAATGGTAAGCGAGACGAACAAGTGTCCTTTTTCCCGCTTATATATCACAATTCTATTTTATTTTCCTTCCCAACTTCATACTAGCATGTAGAAAATGGTTAGTTCCCAATAAGGAGGGATTCGAGGAGATCGAGGGAAAATAATTCTATGCCTAATTCTAATTCCTCTCCAAATCCCACTTAATCCTCTTGTGGGTAGGATTAACCGAACAAGTTGTGGATAGGATTAACGGAACAAGGCCTAAACCAGTTTTATACAGCTAACAAGATTATCCCTACTTGCAGTCAAGAGACACAAGAAGTCAGGAATTGCTAGGTAGGATCTTTTTTTGTGGCAACAATGGCTATGGACTGTCTAAATTTTGTCGGCAGCTCTAACTTTGAGTGAGCAGCATCGCTCATGGCCAGTAGCAAAGCAATGCACATTGCAGACACTCAACTAATCTTGCACAGTTGCACTACGATGCCTACCCCCTTAGGGGACTGTAGCAGCTTGTGAATATATACCAGCACGGGTACCATTCCCCATTTTTCACTCACTCCTAGCACCTGCTTGAAAAAGAATATGGAACACACTGCTACATTTCATTAACGCAATGACCCCAGTAGAAAATGCGCCATTGATTTCATTCTAATTGTTCACATGAATCAAAACACATGGCAAGACATAGTGAGAAAGATATCTTCATTGCAAGATTCGAGAAAATTTAATCAGAATGCATGAAACAAAAAAGATTCCAGCAAGAACTGAATCGGTCGTTCAGCACAGTTTTTAACTGTTACCCACACTAAGCGCGTTAATAGATGCTCCATGTCACAGAATCAAGAAACACAGCACGTTTCTGAGCCAAGAAGATCAGCATTCAGCACTATTTGCAGAGTCAAAAGGAGTTAAACTAAGCAATCGTACTTGTTCTAGAATGTCCATAATATAGCAGGGCAAAAATTAACAGCTTAGATGAGCCCTTTCAGTATGGAGTAAAAGGGCCAATCAGAGAAGTAGGTGTTCTCATAAGATGAATGAAATCATAGTAGAATATATGCACAATGACACTGCTTGTTAGTACATTAATTGCAAGCCCAAGGGCTAAGGCAACAGCTACAATGGAAATACAGTGATACACTTGTTATCATCTAGTTAGAGCGTTGTTATCAGATCCCAACATCTTCCTTATGACAGCACTTGTAGCAAATTAGCCGTGCCCAAATTGTTGGCCTTGAACTGAATGTACGACAGCGAAATTCATCGTCAGATTAAACTCTGGCATTATTTACCTACGCAACAATGCTAATCAGAAATACAAGTAATTTTACTGACCAGAAACAGCTTTGGATTGCTGAGGCATTCCATCTATCATGCTTAATTGCCTTCTCAGCTTAGCTATGTGAGCTTGCACCTGGAGCAACAAGAGAGTTACAATGTCAGAGAAGTGGACATTGTTTTACCCCATTCAACTGTTCATGCACAAGCAATTCCTGTTACTATTAGGTACTCCCTCCATCCCACAAAGAAACCATCCCTAGATTCCCAATGCAAGTTTAGTACTGATGTGAAATGACCTAAATGCCCTTCTTCAAGTACAACCACTCATTAGTCATCAGCACTTACCCACGAAAAAAAAAAGGAAAGTTAAAAATCCCTCCATCGTCGTTTGCATCTGAGCCACCGACGACGACCCTGTATGCCGGCGCGCCACCGCCGGCCTGCACATCTCCGTCCGCCGCCGCAAGCTTCAGATCCACCGCCTCACAAACCTCTGTTGTTGCCACCCCCGCCGCATCTGATACACGACGCCGTGGAAGGTCGCAGGCACAGAGAGAAAGGGAGCTTCCAAGCCGCATCCATCCACCAGAGCTGCCTCCCACATCGGATGATGGGGATCCGCCGGCTTGCAACCCTCCACCGCCTTCTGAGCTGCTGCGTCCGGGTGGACGCGGAATGTCGCACGGAGGAGCGGGAGAGAGGAGAAGAGAGAGGGAGCAGGGAGTGGGCAGGACGAAGCAGGAACATGAGCGAGGGGTGAAGCAAGGATGGAGGTCGCTGGAGATCGACGAACAAGAGAGACGAGCAGTAGTATTGAATGTTTCTGGTTCTGGACGGAGAGAACAAGAGAGACGAGTAGTACTAGTATTGTGTGTTTCTAGCCGGAGAGGACGAGCAGTAGTATTGAGTGTTTCTGGGTTTTCGCGCAGGAGTCGATTCTTTCCGGGACAAACTCTCACTGGTAGAAATTGATTTTTTGTGAGGCAGAGGGAGTAAGTCAGAATTATTCTATGCAACATCCCCTATACTGGCATGCTATGTAATTTTATTTATAGCTCGAAAATATGTCTATGGTTATATATAAGTCAGTCTAGGCAAGTGATCCCCAATGCGAAATTTTACCATTTTGTTGCCCTTAAAAGATTATTATGCTAATATAGTCCTTTAGTAGTGTTATCATTGGGAGATACAGAACTTACCCTGGAAAGCGCTTTCCAGTTGAATTAATTTGGGGAAAAAAAGACTCAACAAAAGGGACAACTACTAGTTTACAACTGCTTGCATGAATAGCTTAATTATATGCAAGGGGAATTAAAAAAGACCTTCTTGAAATTGATACGGGATGTACAACTTAGCCAAAAAGACATTTACCAACTGAAATTGATATAAGATAACTCTCTCATGGAAATATCTACGGATTGAATGCATGTTACAACAGACTAAGTAGATGAGAAAGCAGGAATACTTCTTGCAGTATTGACAAGCATAGTAATATATCTCAGAGAATAAGGACAATTGAATCTCACCTGTTGCCGAGCAGCAGCCAGTTTTAATAGTTCATCAGCTTCAGAGAAATTTGAGAACCACTGGCTCAAAGGATGATCCTTAGTGTCACCACGCTTCTTTTCATGTGGCACAAGTTCCATAGGGCCTAGACGATGGATAATTTTGTATTGCCATTTTTATTTTTCCCCCAATGAAATATAGGTACAAGTCATGGTGCCAAGAAAAAAGGAGTACCTGGAGGAGGCAAGGTTATACCAGGAGGCAACCTAGGCACAGTAGCAGCTGGATGATTTTGTACTCGTTGGAAAAAGGCCTCAGTGGGCTCAGGGAAGACAATTTCATCGTACGTTTCCACGACAACAGGCTTTTTAGTTGATTGTGGTCCAGTGTCCTCTTCTGGATACAGTTTAAGTTGATGAAACCTGCATCATTTATGTAGTTAACTAAATGCTTCCCCCAAAGAAATATGATGTTTGAAACAAGATCTCTGCAACTTACAAATCCAGACGCTTTTCACACACGTCACTGTGGAAATAAAGGGTTATTGCAATTTCAAATTCTCCCCAGCCAGATTCAGACAACTCGAAAGGTGGTTGCTCTACAACTCTTGTTGGATTAGTGAAACTCGGGTGAAGTTGAAACACCACACGCTTAACTATCACACTTAAATCCTCATTTGTTGCAGAGCGAACATACACAGTCCATTTGTGAGAGTTGTACCTAGAAAAAAAGAACATATTCATGCCCTTTAGATAATATTCACTATAGGTAGCAAACTGAGTACCTGAGGAAATTTAACAATAAGAACTGTTCACAGAAAAAAAAAAATACTTACTCGCTTGCCTTCTTGCCAAGCCAGAAAGAAATGGTTCCATAGACAATTGGGAAACTGATCTCCACATCCTTGAGTTTTTTATTCTGTGAGAAAAAATCAGTAAAACACCATGTCAAGTAAAAAATTGATTAAAGCTTATTATTAATCCATAAAGTATACCAACTAACTAAAATGAAGCATATGGTGTAACAAAATCACCCTGGATGATTCACTTAGGCTTCCCAAAAAAACAGAGGGTGAAGTTTGTTGGATGCTTATTTATTTCCTTGTTTTCATACTTCAAGAAGGTGACTGTATGTTTGATATCATATACTAGACGACTAAGCAATTAATTGGTGTGAAGAATAAGACATGGTATGATGATGCAAAGGAATGTATATAAACCACAAGCTAGTAATCAGTTAAACAATAGATATTCTGGTCCACTGTTTCTCAATTCTAACTCTAAAAATGACAAACAGCAGAGTCCGATGCAGCTTAGCTAATCGGTTAGATAAGTCTTGGATTGAATCGTATCCTAGTCATTTACTCGATTGCACAATTGAACATTCATAAGATGTTCACTGCTTACTAACGAATGGGCGTGATGTCTACTTCCTTTGATTCACCCGAGGCACCGAGCATAGCTACTGGTGTGCCACCCAAAACCCTAGTAGCACCCCCACCCCTCAACGCAAAATCACAAGAGAAGAATCGGACGAGCACGCCACTGCAAAGGGAGGTAAACCTTCTTGTCGGAGTCTTCGGGCGGCCTCGTCGGCTTGGAGCGGAGCGCCTTCTGCGCGGCGGTCAGCACGGCCTCCGGCTGCGCCTGCGGCGGCGGCGCCGGCGTCTGCGGGTCCAGCGCCTCCTCCGAAGCTGGCACAGCCGACGGAGAAGGGTCCGCCGCAGGCTGCGGCGGAGGCGGCGCCGCCGCCGTCGCCGGCGAGGAGGAGGAGGAGGCTTGCGGCATCGGCGCGGCGCGCGGCGAGGGCTCGGTCGGTCGGTGTCGGGTCGGGTCGGGAAGAAGGCGAGGCGACGCGAGGAAGAAGATGGTTGGGTCGGATCGGTCCGATGGGCGAGTGGGCCCAGATTGTCCGGCCCACTCGAAGCGGCGTGGGTTGCACGCTTGCACGGATAAGTTGGGCTGTAAACCTGTAAAGTGTGTGTAGGGTTTTGGATGGGCCCGGCCCATAAAGTGAGCGGTGGGCTCAACGGGTGTGGGGTATTTTTGGCCGTTCGGCCCATTTAGACAACCACAGGCCCACGGTTTTGGATTATCTGTAGATTGAGGCCCACAGCTTTTCGCATACATGATTAACCATTTTAACACGGAATAAGGTCACCGGAGGTCCCTCAACTTAACAGTGAGATTTTTTGAGATCCCTTAACTACAAAACCAAAAATGTGTACCCCTAAACTCTCTCAAACCGTTCACCGGAGGTCCCTCGGCAGTATTTTTGTCCGGTTTTGCTGACGTGGCATCCTAGTCAGCAAAAAAATTAAAATATTGCGTGGGGCCCACATGTCAGCTGCACATCTTTTTTTTTCTCTTTTTTGTTCTTCTCCTCTTCTCTCTTCTCTCTTCAGCGAGCGCGGCAGCCACAAGCGGAACAGCGTGATGGGGTTCTCCTCCGTGGAGGCGACGAGCACGGTCACGGCTGTGACAGCAGGTTCCCAGACCCGGAGCCAATGCGTTCAGCCGGAGCAGCGGCTGCTACACCGACACCGCATTCTCCGCCGTGCGCTCCTCGCCGCCGCCTAGATGCTGCTGCTGCGCCTGCGTCACCGCCGGGCTCACCGTCAGCTTCTCCTTGATCGCTCCCGTCAATAAAAATGTGGACATCATTATTGATTGCTAGGAGCACTACGTGCTTGCAGACGGCGAACGACACGACGGCGCCGGCGAAGCCCGCCGGGGCCAGGCCGCATTTGAAGCTGCTGGTGGACAAGCGCTCACGTCGCGTGCTGTACGCGAAGGCGCACAAGGACGCGGTGGACTTCCTCATCGGCCTCCTCCACGTTCGTCTCGTTCGTCGAGGCCGACGCCGACGTCTCGCTGGAGGAGTTCGGTGACTCGCTGTGCCCGCCGATCCCTTGCGCTGGCGAACTCTTGACCCTGCTGGATAGCGACTTCGCCGTCGTCACCGACCGGCCACTACTCTACGTGCAGGTACGTACGTCATCATAAAACTTGAATAAACTTTGCAAATTTTGCACCATTTGTATTGTACGTGATTTACGTGTTCATGATGCCATGCATCTCGTCTGAGGTGTGGCGGCTTCGTGTTGCATCATAGGTGACGAGGCTGAGGTGTGGCGGCTTCGTGTTGCATCATAGGTGACGAGGCTGAGGTGTGGCGGCTTCGTGTTGCATCATAGGTGACGAGACTGAGGTGTGGCGGCTTCGTGTTCAGCACCCAGATCTGCCACAACCTCGTCGACGCGGCGGGGATCATGCAGTTCTTGCAGGCTGTCGGTGAGCTCGTAGAAGGCGCGGAGCGTCCGGCCGGTGTGAGTGAGGGAGCCCCTCGACGCGCGCCACCCGCCGCATTCGGCGTACGACCACCCCGAGTACGAGCCGGCGTCCGACGAGGCCAGCGACAAGCTCCGTCCAGGCGACGAGCTCGTGCACCGCAAGTTCCTCTTCGGCCCCGACGACGTCACTGTGTTGCGCGACCAGCTCCCCACGCGCCTCGGCCCCGGTGCTCGCGTTTCCTTCTCCTCGAGTCCCCGGGCCCAGACCGCCGCTTTCCGCCGCCTACAGCCGCCGACGCTGCCCTTCTGCCTGCTCCGGCCGCGTGCCGCCGCTCGCTGCCGCTCGCCCGCCGCTTGCCGCCGTTGCAGCCGCGCTCTCCCACTGACCACCACCCCTCCACCTGCTCCAGCCGCGCTCGCCCGCTACTTGTCGCGTCGGCGTCGGCAATCGCTAGCTCCGGGTCTTGGAACCTGCTGTTGCCACCGCGGCCGTGCTCGTCGCCTCCACGGAAGAGAACCCCGTCATGCCGCTCCGCCTGTGGCTGCCGCGCTTGCTGAAGAGAGAATCAGAGAAGAGAGTACAGAAGGAGAAGAAAAGAAAAGGGAAAAAAAGTGCAGCTGACATGTGGGCCCCACGTAATTTTTAATTTTTTTTCTGACTAGGATGTCACGTCAGCAAAACCAGGCAAAAATACTGCCAAGGGACCTTCGGTGAATGGTTTGAGAGAGTTTAGGGGTACACATTTTTTGTTTTCTAGTTAAGGGACCTTAGAAAATCTCACTGTTCAGTTGAGGAACCTCCGGTGACCTTATTCCTTTTAACACCGAATTTACTGATGCATCTGAATTCAACTTCTACCGGTGATGATTCTTAAGAGATTATTTAGATCCGTTCTTTAGGACGGATGACTATCACGGTCACGGTCTATAAAAGTTACTGTGTAATTAGGATTTGTTCATGTTTTGCTTGGTTCTCTGTTTATCTTTGGAGACGCTCATAGGCAAAAAAGAGAAAAAAAAAACTACAGCTTCCTAAAACGAAGAATATAATTTTAGACGAATGGAACTAATTCCCATAAAAATTCCGTGAAAATTTACCCCCTTCAAGAGTAGTAGTTGAACTACCATGTGAACTGTGAATTTGTGATCGAGCAAGCATTGTGCCCGGGCTATCCTAGCTAGCAGGCAGATGGACAGAGAGATACTAGCTAGTTCTAAAGTCGCCGTGGTGGTGGCAGCTATCATATCATACACGCACGTACCGTTGCCCCCTTCCCTCATCGCCGGCCGCCGGCCCGGAAAGTGACCTCCTGTACGCTGGAATGCCGGCCGATATCCGCTGGCCACTAAGTAGAAGATTCAACTGGATCGACCCATGAATTCATTTATTTATAGATCAAATAAGTAAATAATCTATATGTTCTACATCATGATTCGGCTTAAGATGCAAGTGACTCAATTCGTGAACCCACTTATAACCCAAATTAGTATGTAACCCGCAGTCTGCAGATCAATTCATAGGTTACATACTAATTTTATTTATAAGTGGATTCGCGGATCGATCCACTTCAATCTCTAGCCCCACTGCTGTGCTTCGACGGCGAGGCAAGCCGCCCCGACAAGCCACGCCCCGCGCAACGTGCTCCCTCCCTTCCGCGTCAGCAAGACAGCAATCGCGCTAGTGGAAGAAGCTGCTGCATTGCTGATATGAGGCGGATGGAGGAGAGGAGAGATCATGCAGAAAGCGACTCTCATACTCACTTTAATCAATCAACTGCCGTCGTCTATCACTGTAGTACGCACCAACTGTTCCTGCACTTGCCCCTGTGCACTGTCAGCTAGCTGCTCTTCATTTCTCATGCCAGTTCTTCTCTTCAAAACAATTATGTTTTCATGTGCATTAATTTAGCGTATTTTTTAAAATAATATTGAGTTTAGTGCATGCACTTCGTGTTTCGATTCTCAATTTTGGTCTTTATTTATTTTTAGATAAGTATAAGCTTTTACGTACTAATTCGAGAAGATACAATTGTACCGAGAACACTCCCAGTCTATATATAGCTAGGATACCATTGTGGTTTGATATGCTTGCCATGTACATATGCTCATATGAGCAGTACTGCAGTACTTGACTTGTACCAGCAGATTCATATTTCAAATCACGCTCATTGTCAAGCGGTCCACGGTACAATACAACAACGTCCTTTCAAATTGCTTTCGTGAAATGCCAGTTTTATGACTATTAACTAACAGTGCATTATACGAGCAAAACCAATCATCCGATCGAGTCTGCCTGGAGCAGGATACGGAATTGGACGATTGCCCTCTCGATCTTGCGTTGCCGTTATGGCTACAGTTTTCGTGACGATTGGATCAAGTAGCCAGGCAGGGAATGTCATGCTCAAAGCTAGATCTGAAGCTAACCAGGAGCTCAGATCACAGGCCCACAATGATGCTGCCTCTTGTTTATGTGACCTGAATATATACTTCATTGCTGATCTAGCTTTAGCCAACTGCCAATGCCATATGCTAAGCTAAAAATTCATTTTTGATTCTGTATATTCGGTGTGCTGTGTGTGCTGGTCCCTAGCTCCCATCCTCTGTTCATGTGACCAACTCAAGTATCTCAACTTATCAAAGTAGTAGACAAGTACTAGTAGTAGTAGCTTTGAATCTCTAATAGAGTAGTGTATGTTTATGTTCAGGAAAGCAGCCAGATCTTCTTGCTCTAATCGCCTTTTTCTAGATCCGACCGTGCGTGTGCAGAAGCGCATGTGTGCCCGTTTTGGAGCTCTTGCGATCACCCTTCATAATCATATCTGCAAACGTGTTCAGAGTTTTTTTTATTCATGTAATCTTGTAGTACTACGACATTAGCAATGAGGTAAAGCTTCTTCAATTGCTACCCTCTCTCAAGTGATTTACATCTTTGTATCACTGTATGCACAGCTAGTTAATTTGTTCTGGACTTTATCACTGTATGCCTCTGAAACTCTGAATCTTGATCTGAAGAGACAAAGTTACAACACAGTATCGACAGTAATTTGTCCAACAGTGGTATTGATTGGCCTTATTAGGAAAACTGAAAAAGGTCAGACTAGGTCAAATCTTGTTCTGTGTTGCTGTGCAAGCTAGATGACATGCTATAAGCTACAAAGTATCGAGCAGTGGACCAACAAAAATCCAAATAAAATCGAATAATCTGCGTGCTGCATGCACTGCTTGGTGCTCCACTCATCACGTCTGCGGATTGTATGTAGGAATATTATCAAAAGAGCATTGACTTGTACTGTTGTTGTACATGAAAACAACAAAGAACAAGGGAACAAAATAATTGTCATATTTTCTGCTGTATCTCTGAACATATATTCCCTTGTTTACTGCAGACCAATCTGATCATAGATTGAACTGAATGCAGTCATGGTAATGGAGTTACAGTTCATGATTGGCTCTGAAGATCTGGCCAGGCATATTTGTCTATGAAAAAAAAATCTTCTACTTTTTGCAGGAAAAAAAAGTGAAATAATTGATCCATGACAGGAAAGAAA